AATGTTGAGACAGTTCTTTTTTTGACAGAGATTAAATGTTTGCCTAATAACATAAGCATAATATGTAATAGCTATTAAACTGTTAACCGTAGTAGCCGCATTGTTTAACAATCTCCGCCAGTGTGTGAAGGTTCTACTTTCTCCAGCACTAGTTTTTAGTTGTCTTTTTTACTTTAGTCATTGTAGTGGGTATGAACATAGTTCTCATTGTGGTTTTTATTCATATTGTCCCATCTCTGATCTGTATTATTAGTTTTTTTCCTGTTAGATCATTTTAATGAACATAAACGCATGCTGTTATTTCATCTTAACACCAAAACTCTCTTAAAAAAATTGTTGTAATTAGAAAGAGTGCTTCTTACAAAAAGGCAGCTGCAAATTAGAGACCTTTGCAACAATTACTAATTTTTTTCTTAAAGAATGGATGGGATCCAGGAAATTATACTATAGATGAACACATCAGGAGCATCCCAAAGTTGTCTTCAGGAAATAGATCAACAAAATGTTTGCAAATTTCTGACCAAATAATTCTTCTAACAATTTAAGGATTAACCCCCCCCCCTTATTTTCATCTGTTCTTTTTAGTTATACATAATAGTAGAATGCATTTTGACATATCATACATACATGGAGTATGGTTAATCATTTTTGTGGTTGTACATGATGTGGAGTTATACTGGTCATATCTGCATACTCATATGAACATAGGAAAGTTATGTCTGATTCATTCTATTGTCTTTCCCATTCCTACCCCTCTCCCCCTGTCCGACTGGGTGAACCCCACCCCCAGTTGTTAGTCAGTATATGCATATCAGAGAGAACATTCTGCATTTGGTGTTTTGGGATTGGCTTATTTCACTTAGCATGGTAGTCTTCAGTTTCATCCATTTATTGGCAAATGCCATAATTTTGTTCCTCTTTATGACCGAGTAATATTCCATTGTGTATATGTGCCAGTTTTTTTATCCATTCATCTGTTGAAGTTGCTCTCTCTTACTTAATTTAAAAGCATGACCTTTAATTCAGACAATTTAATCCACTTCAATAAACACCTTAGACTTATGGATAACATGTATCTATCTGCAAAGTTTAGTGGTAGAATGATGCTAATGCCCACAAAAACAGACAACAAAACCTGGTGACAAAATCCCTCTGATGAGGACAGGGGTTTTTCTAAAAATGCCTGGGTTGGAAAGGTTAGGAGATTACATAAAACATTATATACAACTCTTTATTTAAAACTCAGTTCGTTTTAACATATGGGATAACAAGATTTAACATCTGTGGCTTACCTCCATTTCTTTATTGTAAAGATAGAGTTAACATTGCTGTGTATTAGGAACTACCAGTGTACTGCTTTGTCCTTGAAGATCTATCTGTCATACTAGTCTGAAAAACCAAACTATGGTTTTCCAACAAAGCTAAGAATAGTGTATCTGTGCAGAGATAAGAAGCTTATCTCACACACACACAAACACACACATCAAGTCTGTCAGCCTTTGGGAGTTATCTTCCAACTCCTATTTATTTTATGCCTCTGTATCTAGTGTATGTATTGTTTCACAACTTTCCTATTATAAAAAATATAGTTAACATCTCAACACATATGATCTTGTTTCTGGTTACTCAGTAGTATTATTTGGGTGCAGTGAAAGAAGGGATGAATAAGTGCACATTGGGGATTACAAAGTAGAAAACAAAAAAACAGATGTTGCAGGGTGGCAGTGGCACACACTTTTAATCCCAACAGCTCAGGACGTGGGCAGGAGGATTGCAAGTTTGAGGCCAGCCTCAGCAACTGAGAACCCTGTTTCAAAGTAAAATATAAAAAGGGCTTGGGGTGTAGCTCAGCACCCTGGGGTTCAGTCCCTGGTACTGTAGAAACAAACAAAACCAAAAAATAAAACAAACACAGATGTGCAGATTTCACCGTAAAATGCAAGGATCTACTTTGTAAGTCTGAGGTACTTGGCATATCCAGTGTTCTTACCTATTATTCCTAAAGCAGGGCCAGTGTTTTGTTTATTTTATTTTTTACTTTTTATGGTATTGGGCTTGAAACCAGGAACACTTGGCCACTGAGTTGCATTCCCCAGCCCTCTGACTGCACCTGGAATTGATAGGCTTTCTTAGCAGAGAAACGGCCACTGCCACACCACCAGATGATAGCTACCATCTTGAGGCTCAGCACACCAGCTAACAATTCATGCAAAGTTGCTATAGATCCGAATAAAAAAGCCTTCCAGTTCATCATGAAAAAAGTCCCATTCCTCAGAGACTCACAGGTCATCTTTACCTGCATATGAATATAAATAACAACTAACAGCTAAAAAAATGGCAATCTTTTTTTCATTATCAAAGGGTCTGCTGTTGTCTTTACTCAGTGAGCTCCCACAAATTATTGCTTCTTTGGGCCAATATCTGCTTGATGTTTCTCTTTTGTGTCTGGCTTCTCTTGGGTAAGCAGGCTTGTAAAATAATTCCATTCGTTTGGGGAGCTTTTGTGTCCTTCATCAGAATCCCTACCTGTCTTGTTGCTCACTGCGTCCTTGTATTTATGAATACATTTCTGCTCTTTTTTTCACTTTACTCACTTAGAATGACAAAGTTCATTGTGATTTGGCATTCTGTGCAGGAATTTATGATTTTGTTTTTCAGTTGCTTACCACTCCTGCACTTATAAACACACTTGAGGCAATAGGTAGAGTTACAGTTGGAGAGCATCTCAAAACATATTTACAGAGTTAACAACATGCTCCTGTAGAGCAAGATGAAATGAAATAATCTCATTTCCTCCTTGAGATTTTTTAGCACTTTTGTGTCCATAAAATGGCTCTAAAGGATTTTATATAAATTATGATCAAATATAGACCATATCTATGTGCCAACCACACAAAGGGTACTTGAAAATTTTATGAATAGGCATATTTGGTACCAGAGTTAGCAATTTTTCTTATTCCCCCCCCCCTTTTTTTTTTTTGGTGCATGAGTTAGAGATCCAACCCAGGGCCTTGCATATATTAGGCATACTGTCTACCACTGAGTTACACCTCCAGTCAATATCTGAATGATAGAAGTATGTTTAAATAAAAAACTTTACAATATCTGAATATCTGAATTCCCTTGATTTAGTTCTGTGATGACCTACTTGAGCTAGTTATATTATTGAGTATATACTATAACTATTAACTAGTTCTTAGGAAAAAAGTAACTATCAGATGAGCAGTTATTGCTTGTGGGTCAAATGCTGCATTAGTGAACCTAATCCCCAGTAAATTCTGTTTAGGCACTATCATCCCTATTTGATATGTAAGTAAATGATTTTCAGGAACCTTGAAGTACAAGATCTTTATTAAATGCCATTGTCACTGCAGGCAGTATAATCATTTGATCTTTTTATTTACAATCTTTTGAAAAAAAATTTTTAGTTGTAATTGAACACATAACTATTTTATTTATTTGTTCATTTGTTTATTTAATTATTTATGGTGCTGAGGATGGAACCCAGCGCCTCACACATGCTAGGTGAGCGCCTCTACCTCTGAGCTACAACCCAGCTCCATTATTTGCTTCACAATCTTACAAGATGAAATGTCATCTGGTTTAATTCTCATTAAGTTATTAAATTTTCTTGAGTATTTAACTTAGAAATGTTCAGTGAATTCCTTTTCTCTGGCTTAGCTTGTTTCATAGATTTGAAATAAGGGCATTTTAGTGCCTCTAAACGTGCAAGTTTTATAAATTTCCCAATTTTTCTCTTAAGTCTTATAATTTTAAGACCTTGCATGAAAGAAAGGTAATCTATAATTTCCTCAGTATTTTTAGTCATTAATATCTCCTTAATAAAAGTGGAAAAAAAACTGTTGCTCTTTGTTTCAAGATATTTAAAACATTCAACAATGCTTTTTTTAAATACATGAGATTAGAAAACTTGTCTTTGGCTCCAGTAATTTGATCACCCCGAAGAAATACTTTTCTCCCTCAGCTATATACTATTTTTTTTTTTGCACTAAATTGAGATTCTTTTTGCATACAGGCCTCTGTGCTGAATCTTAAATTATTATTTGATCTCATTTGTTGACATAAAGAAGTGTTAATTAACATTTTTAGGATAAAATTTTTAAATATCTCAGTTTGAAAACATTTCATCTGAAAGCTTAAAATTTGGATCTGGATAGTAAGATTCAGTGTTCTTTTAATCAAGTGGATGTGTAGCAACTGAGGTGCTTTTTTTCTCCAGAGTTTCAGTAGTGGAGAGGTTTTCCCCTTTCTCCAGCCTACTCAAAACTTTTCGTGTATAAGAAATCTCAGCTTAGGACCAAAGACAAGTCTGAATTGGGCATTTGTTTCTAGAAATGTGTGAACTCTATCGTATAGGTATTTGCTAAGAAAGTTGGTCAAGTCAGTAATCCCGTTACTGCCTTTCTTGTGATGTACTCTGCACATTACCCCTTCACTCACCTGTGCATCCTCTGCTTGTCTGGTCTTTTTTCTTCTCATTTTCCTTCTAGTTTGGGAATAGCTCTTTAATCTGACTTGCTGTCCTGGTGCTTTGGAAGAGTAGCTGGGCATCCATTCTGGGCAGAAAAGGGTAGAGCTGATCAAGGGGAATAATTAAAATGGAGAGAGCTTAGCTGGTCCTTGTTCCCTTGTGTTAAACGTAATGAGTTTAGAGGATTATGATTATGTGTAATTATCAGGATCTGATAGATGGGACACCTGTTTTTACTCTTTTTTGTTTTTGGAGAAATAGCATCTTTTTAATGTAAAGATTTTGAGTTCTAGCTGGCACTGGTGGCTTAAGTTTTCAAATATACTTTCAAGAAAAATAGGCTGTGGTTAATATGAAGGTGTTTTATTAGGACTCAGTGCTCATTAGTCTGAGAATATTTTTTTAACCGTGGAAAATGAGTTATTTTAGATTTTCATTTATTATTCTGGATTGCATTACAGTTGTTTTAATGTATTCAACTAGTTTTCCTTTGGTTTTTATTTCCTAGGTTGCACGTTTTCAAAAAATACCTAATGGTGAAAATGAGACAATGATTCCTGTATTGACATCAAAAAAAGCAAGTGAATTACCAGTCAGTGAAGTTGCAAGCATTCTCCAAGTAAGTGGTTGGTGGGAGAAAGGGAATAGATAGTGTGAAACCAGTCTTTTAGGCTTTATCAATCAGTGCTGCCCAATATAAGTTTTTTCAATGATAGAAATACTGTTTTGTGCTGACAGTATGGTAACTGTTGAGCTTGAAATGTGGTTAAACTTGACTGAATTAACCATGAGTATATGACTTGAAACTTGACTCCTGTGATAGAGGAACTAAATTTAATTCTTTTATATAACTGTACTGTGGTTTACTGGCTACCAGATTATGACATTGCAGCTCTAGATCACTAGCATTGCCAGAAACTACTCGTGCTGTGTAAGCACTAGTTGGATTAGGAAAATAATCAATTTAATTAGTAACATAGTGTTTAGAGTTTATGTTTTTTTTTTTTTTTTTAACAAGGGTTTTCTAAGGTGAAATAAAAGCTAAGTGCAAGTTCAGAGTTGCAAATAAAATTTAATTGCTTATGTAATTTTTTCTTTTCTAGTTTTAAAAAGCACATCTATTGATACATGAAGAAAAGAGTGCTTTTAACTTTTCCTTCAGACATTCACATATTTTGATTGTGGCATTAAAAACATTGCTTTTTTTCTTTTTTTGGCAATAGTAGGGATTTAACCCAGGGTGTTTATACTTGATAGTCAAGCATTATGCACTGAGTTATAACCTCAGTCCTGTTATCTATTTTTTGAGTTTTTTATTTGTTTATACTTTATTTTAAGTATGTTTAAGTTTTGAAAGTCTCGATTATTGATCTCTATTTTAAAGCTTTCTGTCAGGGCAACTAGTTATTTTAGGCTGCAGGAAGTTTCATTTTTTTAATAATAGCTACCATAGAAAACATGACATAGTAACTGAAGGATTTATATATCATAGATGGTATTATAATGTCCCGTGAATAAGTTCATCTTAATTACCTCAAATAACTTAAGAAGTACCAAATTTCCAGCCTAAAATAATTGTATAATCCAAGAACAAAAAGTAATATTAATCTTAGGGTTTTGATAGACTTGGAGAATGAGGCAGGCATTTATAAACTCTAAATATTCTTTTGGAAAATAATTTTAGTAAACAACATTAAAAATAAAAAAGCTGGTTAGGATGTAGTAGGGACTGGTTTGTATTATCTCTTTCTGATAATAAAAATGAGTTAAACTCCTATCTTGTTGCTTACAGTTTTTGAAAATCAATTTTATTGAGGTATAATTTACATAAAATACAATGCACTGATTTTAAATGTACAGTTTGCCTTTTGAAAATGTGACTAATACCACAATTAAATGGAACATTTTATCACTCCAAAAGGCTCCCACAGGGGCTGTGGCTGTGGCTCCTTGGCAGAGTGCTTGCGTTGCATATACAAGGCACTGGGTTCAATCCTCAGCATCACATAAAAATAAATAAATAAAAATATTGTGTCCATGTATAACTAAAAAATATATATATATATATAAAAAGACTTCCACATGTCCCTTTGGAGTTGATTATCTCCAGGTAACTACTGAGAAGCTTTTTGTAACCATACATTAGATTTCACAATTGTAAACTTCCTGTAGATGTGTTCATACACTGTGTAGTCTTTTATGTTTTTCTTCTTTTGTTCTGTGCTAACATTTTCGATAACTTTTGTATATAAAATTGAATAGGCTGATCTTCAGAATGGTCTAAACAAATGCGAGGTTAGTCATAGGCGAGCCTTCCATGGCTGGAATGAGTTTGATATCAGTGAAGATGAGCCACTATGGAAGAAGTATATTTCTCAGGTAAGATACTTTAAGTTGTTTCTCTGCTGTGTTAATTTATGAGGATTTTTTTTTAAATGTAGTTGTTTACTTTTGTGAGGTTATTTATGGAGAAAGAAAATAAATTTTAAAAAACATTTTTCTCTAATAATTTCAATATGTTAGCATTTACTGTTAGGCTGGAATTTCTGTAATTTTTAGTTTATAACTTTTAAAGGGCAACATTTTCTATACTAATAGATCACACAAAGATGATCTTGTTGGCTGTAATTTCCTTTGCAGATATTGAACATGTACTATTTTAATTATAGGAATGCTAATAATTTTTAAGGCAATCATGGCCAGCACATTTCTCCCCTGCCCCTTTCAGTAGGTTCTTTTTTAAGAAGATTTATGTTTAACTTTTCTAAAGGGTCTTGCTTGATAAAGAGCACAGATTTATCAGTCTTAACTTTGCATGTGAGTTGTCTAAAGTTGCAAAATCGAAATTTTAGGGATTGAAAGATCTTTGTGTATGTGTCTTATTTTATGGAATATTTTTTACTTTACATAATTGTATTCTCATATTTACCATAATTTCATCTTATGTAAAACTTCAGAAAGTATTAACATAGTTTACTCTGGAAATGCTTTGAATGATTTTTATTTTTTCTTGTTACTAAAGCTAAAGTGCCTGTCTCTTGGGATTTCTGTGAAAATTAAACAGTACACATATAAGCATAAACAACAATTAACAGAAAATATCAGTTGTTAATCATAAAGTACTGGGTGACTCTTAACTCCTTTCACAGAACTCTGAATTTGTGGTTCTGTAAACATCTGTCTGCTGTCTACAGCCTACCAAGTGGTATGCTTAATTAGTACTATGGCACAGCCTTTTTAGCAGGGAAGAAAAGACCATGGGCATTGCTCTTAAAATGTGATGGTTAACAGCTACATTTTGAATAGAATTTTGTGGTTTACACAGTACATTTGTAGTTAATCCTTATCACAAATTCCTTGATATAAGGTTCCATTTCACAAGGTGATGAATCTGGGTGATGATTAAGTTGCCACACAGGTGACAGGAATTGCATTGGGTCGTGGTTTGTCAGACCTTAACTATATTGCAGTTGTAATTTTATTTTGCTAGAGCAGTGATGTCTGCCCCACCCCTACCCTTAATCCCTGGACTCAGTTAGGGATTGTTTAAAAAAATCTGATGCTGAATCCATTGCCCTGTGATTCTAATTTAATTGGTCTGGTGTGAATCTGGGCATTATTGGCATTTGTTACAAGTTCCTTTTGTGAGTCTCTGGTGAAGTAGTATTGAAACCACAGCAATGGAGCTGTGGCTTCTGTATTCATAAACTATTATATCTAGGGCCTGGGAATCTCTGGCAAGATTCTTTGTAACGCATTTATTTTGCAACTTTGACAGTGAAGTATCACTTTAGCATAGGAAAAACATTAAGGAGTAAGTCCAACTGGAAGAATTTGGGGTGGTTCTGTTAGTTGGCCTTTTAAGTGCTGCCTAATTGGATTGGTCATGATATGGTTCTGTTTCTGTCACATAAAAGAAAACTAGCCTTGAGGAAAATCCTCATTTTCTTTTGTGGAGTGGATCTTAGTGTCTTTTCCTGGCCATCTCTGGGGGTTATACCTGTGGCATGTGCGTCAACCACAGCATTCTTATCTACACAAATTTACCTATTTGAGGAATGTTTAAATCACATGATTTAGGTGTTCTAACTTGTGTTTATCCTAAATCTTTAGCTTAAAAATCGAACTCAGCTTTTTCTATATGCAGTAGAAATTCAGAACAGCTTTATTTATTAAATTAATATAATGCTAAAATACATGTATGCTGTAAGAAATTGGGAATTCTTTGTTTTAAATGTTGATATTTTCTCTTTCTGAAAAGGAGCCACTGTGAAGCTTTTATATGTAATTAAATATAGCTTCCTTTCTTTTATGAGTAATTGAAAAGATATATAAAATAAACCAAATGTATACTCTCATAATTTTCAAATCATGTCCTTTTGAGCCTTTGCTGAGATAGTACAAAACTATCATTTGTATAAAAACAGTGTTGAATTGCTATTTTTTTACTTTCAGTTTAAAAATCCCCTTATTATGCTGCTTCTGGCTTCTGCAGTCATCAGTGTCTTAATGCATCAGTTTGATGATGCCGTCAGTATCACTGTGGTAAGAAAAAACACATTTTAATTTGTTAACTGTGTAAAATTTTTTTTGAAAATGAATTAAAACTTTCAGGTTTTTTAGTTAATATATGAATCTACTTTTAATTGTATTAGTCATTTTTGTTCATTTTTGAGACGGGCTCTCACTGTGTTGTCCAGGATGTCCTTGAATTTGTGGGCTCAAGCGATCCTCCTATCTCAACCCTGATTTGAGATTATAGGCATGTGCCACTGTGCCTGGCAGTTGTAGTAATCTTCAGTATTGTTTAAAGGTCTGTGATTGGCACCTCTGAAAATTATTTAATAATAGGTATGAAATAGTGCATAATAATTTTCCAGTTAAATATAAAATTCCTTTTACTTTTCAGTTGAAGCTATTTTTACTAATTGCGAACTAAAGCCTGACCTTTGGAATTAAAAACACTCTTTAACATTGCACACTATGTTTACTGTATACAATTTTATTATTTTCAGCTGGGTTATTATAGCTTTGATTGAATAATTTTTTTCTTGTACCATGTTTCATTGCAGTATAAAAACTTTTAGTAAGTTCAAGCATTCATTAAAGCATATGTGGTATGCTTAAGAATGTAGTGGATATTAATGTAGAACTGTATTTCTTGAAGTAATGCTTTTGGATACCCAGGAGTCCCAGAGTTTTGTTCCAGGGCTATGTGAGGTTGAAACTATTTTAATAACACTAAAGCATTATTTTTCTTTTTACTGTAGACTTTTGTTATCAATGGCACAAAAATAATAGCATATAAAACTTTTAGAGTCTTGTTAGCACAAATCAGAGTTCCCAAATAATGATAATATTGTTTCATTATTTCTTTTAAGAATGTTTTTGATAGAGCAGTAAAAATTAATTTTATTACATCTTGACCCTTGATTATATACCTTGTTTGAATATATGTGTAATGAAATGGGAAGTGTGATTAAACACTATTTTGTATTGAAGTATGATGGTCAAAGGAAAGGACAATGTGAAGTGGACTAGTTTTTTACTTGAAAGGATAACATTGTTAATGATAAAATTCAGGCTTTCAAGCAATAATTAAAAGTTCTGATAAATTTTATTCACTGTTGTGAGCTCTAAATAGCTTTCTAAAACATTAGACTAATGAGATTGTATTGCTTTCAACAAATATGTGTAGTTTTAAAAGTATTAGGAAAGGAATCAACATTTAGAATATTTGCAGGGTAAAAGTTTGATTGAAGCTGGGTGTGTTGGTATATGCTTATAATCCCAGTGACTCGGAAGACTGAGGCAGGAGGATTGCAGGTTTGAGGCCAGCCTGGGCAACTTAGTGAGACCCTGTCTCAAAATAAAACTAAAAAGTGCTGGTAATGTAACAATATCGACAAGTGGTAGAGCATTCCTGGATTCAATCCCCAGTATTTCTCCCCCCAGCCAAAAAAAAGATTAAAAATGCAAGATCGAGGGCTGAGTTTGTGGCTCAGTGGTAGAGCGCTTGCCTAACATGTGTGAGGCATTAGGTTTGTTCCCCAGCATTGCATTTAAAAAATAAACAAATACATAAACTAAAGATACTGTGTCCATCTACAACTAAAAAAATATTAAAAAAAAATTCGAGATCCATTAATGAATTTTGACATAGTAGGTTAAGGAAAGTGTCTTGTTGTGGTTTTAAATTCTGCATTTCAAATTACCTTTAAGTGGTGCCTATGAAGTTTTAGAGTATAGTAGCTAAGAAGAATATCCATAGTCATCTGGAATAGCTATTAAAATATTCCTCCCTTTTCCAACTGTTTTCTGAGGCTTGATTTTTTTCCCCATATTTCCTTTAAAAAATCCTCTCATTCTGCTGCTTCTGCCTGAACAGTATATTGCAGCAGATTGAATAATAATAATAATTAAGTCAGATATTAAATATAGAAAAATTTGACCTGAGGTATAGTGGATTAAATGTTTTCCTAGGATGTGCAAGGTCCAGTACCACTGAATGAATGAATGAATCTGCCACTTTTCTTACAATTGTTTTTGAAATTTTCTTACAATTTCAGAAGAAAAGTTGTGTTGACATAAAAAAATTTTAAAAACAAATTAATAAGTAGAAAGTAATACCGAGTAATTGTAAAAGTATTAAAATAGGAAATAAAACCCACATAAACAAGCAGGTCCTCAGTTTGTGTGAGCCTAAAGGGGTTCTAAGATCAAAAAGTTTGAGAAGCTTTCTGGGGGGATGGCAAGCCATTGTTTGATTGTTCCCCCATCAGGCTTCAAAGCTGTGATTTCTTCTCCATCTGACATAAGTATTTAAAATATGTTATCTTGGGACTGCATATAGTTAATGTCAGTGTCTGATTTAAAAGGTTGTTTCTTTGTTTTGTTTAGGCAATACTTATTGTTGTTACAGTTGCCTTTGTTCAGGTGAGTGAGTAATCTATTTTGCCAATGTAAAAATGATGTTACTTATAAAATTAAAGACGCTTATGGTAATATTTATAGTTGTTGATGGTGAAAGTTCCTGTCCAACAGTTTATTTTTTGTATTTGAAGTAATTCAGATATAAAGAACTCTTGAAGGAAGTTCATGAGGCTAAGGTATTTCTTTGGTATAGGTAGTGAGATGAAAAAAATCTGCTTAGTAGTAGTAGTCTTAAGAATAGTTAAAGCAGTTGGAAGCAAAAAAGCACAGTGATATAAATACAAGCTAGCAATAATTTAAAATAATTTTCTAATTAAAAAATTAGGCCAGGGTTTATGGTTTTATAATACTCTTATGTTTCAGTATCTAATAAAGACCAGATGAAGCAAAGAGTGCAGAATTAAATGGTCAACTTCTCAAGTATCATCTGAAGAAAATTTAGTGGATTTCTGTGATTGATTCCTTGAGCACAGTTTTTCCCTTTTATTTACTGAATTTATTTTCTAATCTTATTTTATTTGAACTTTTTTTTGGTAATTAAAATGCTTCTAAAACAGTTGGTGACCCCCCCCCCCCCACACACACACACACATAGACACACTTTAATATTCCATTCTTCAAGAGATGTTCTGATTTGGATCAGACCTCTTACTCTGCATAACCATTGAAACATTAAAGAAATATGAGAAGCAGCTAAAAAACTATTATGAATAGTGTAGAGATGATACCAGAATTTCTGTTAAAAAGTATAGGCATAAATAGAAATGTAGGTTTGATTTTATGTTTGCTTAAATGTCTTCAGGTTTTGTAGATTTTAGAATAACATTTCAGACTCTTGGTAATTCTCATAGTTTTAGCTAACATAGGGTAAATAAGAGTAGAATATTTACGTAATGCTGTTTATCATCCTGAGGTGAATGTTGTTTTGATTCCTAATGCTATATTTTGAGTGATTGTGATTATCTTCACATCTACAGTTTATTCCCTGGGTATATTCCCTGTCACTGTCTCAGTCTCTTAGACAGTCTCTAACATAGTAAATTATTTGTTTTATAATATCTTAGTATAGAGAGTTAGTTGGAATCAGATTATTTGCAAGTTTTTGAACTTCATTAGGCCATTCTTTTTGGGGAGAATCTTCTTGCTTAGAATACATGTATGTTGCTTTGGGGCAGGTGAAGTTGGCTAGTCTAGCTTAGGTTATTCCAGTCTAGGTATCATTCGGGGCAACTATTCATTTGGCCATGTGAGAGATGTGACCCATTGTGCCAGTAAATGAAACCTCTTGCATCTTTAATAATGTGTTGGATGTATGAAATGCCCTTCTTCAGAAGAATTCCTACAAATATTACCACTCTATAATAGAAGACCTTCTTTTGTCTTCTTTGCAAATAAAAAGCCCCTACCCTCAAAATATCCTGCAAAATTGCAGTTGTAACATAGTTGGTATGGAATTTTACAAAGAGATACTGTGTTATTTACTTTAAATGCAGTGGCTAAAACTGCTAAGTATTCTATGATGGGTTCATTTGATAGAAATCTCAAAACAAGGACAAAACATTATAAAAAGCCCAGTTTCAAATTATTAGGTCTGGTTTCTTACATACATGTAACTCGTTTCCCCAAACATCTTTGAACCCAACAAAAAATTCTGTATTCAGAAATTGAAAGAACTTTCTCACAAGATATTTTTACATTCATTCGAACCAACCATAATGCTTTGTCAGAAAACTCCTTATCAAATATATATCACAAAACAATGTTTTATCACTTTAGTACTTTTAATCTGTGCTTAGGATAAGAATGCTTTTTTTATTCTTTTTGTATATTTTCTTGCCCTTCTATCTTTCTAATCCCACCTCCCTACACCATTTTATTCCTTCTTGGCCATACAAATGACTTAATTGTTTTATATGGTCATTATAATGATACTGTCTTTATATAACTTTGAAAAGACAAGTAAAGATTGGTAGCGTCTGTGTGATTTATTACTGGGATCTAGGATTGGTGAGTGTTTTCTGGCCTTTTGTGGAATTTTTGGTTAAAACTTTTTAATTCTTTCCATCCTTTGTGTATGGGGTTGGGATTTGTAATTTTCATACAGCTTTGCATTTTCATTTTAAGTGTGTGATGAGTGTGAAATTATGGCTAGTACTAGCACTGCAGCCATTTCAAAATGTTCCTCACCTTTCATTCCTGCTATTATCCCTCTCCCTTTTAACCTTAGGTCAAAAGGTTGGTGTGCTAAGTGCAGACAAGAGCCCAAAAGTAACAGGGATGTTGCATGAAGCAAGAGTACTAACGGAAGGGCTGTGGTTGTAGCTCAGTGGTAGAGTGCTTGCCTAGCATGTGTGAGGCACTGGGTTCGATTCCTCAGCACCACATAAAAATAAATAAATAAATAAAAGAAGGTAGAGTGTCCATCTACAACTAAAAAAAAAGCACTAATGAAAACATGGACTAATTACTAGTCCCTTTCATATGATTTAAGGAGTTGGGAAGAGAGTCCATCATTTTTGGGTCAGTTGCATCTCACTCCTTGTTTACCCTCTGTTTTTTTGTAAACAAACTTTTTCTTTAAACCACTGCAGGTAGCATATGCATCTGTTAATGTTACATATAGATACTCATTTGTGACTTCTTCGGTCATTGTATACCAAGTGTAAAATTATCTTAATTATAAGTGTCACTGATCTTAACTTTTAATGATTCTTTGGGCATACAAATCAGTTTTCAGTTTCTTCTAAATAACCTTAGGTTTACACCCTGAATATTAAAATGTAAAATTGGCAGTAGTTAATTATCAGAATTGTTTGATTGGTATAATGTTAATATGGGACATTTTTTAAAGAATATAAGCACAAGATAAGAATTGGGAGAAATTTTAAATAAACGGTTGAGATATTTAAGTCTAGATGGAATATGCTTATAGGTACATACATATTTGCATTTCCTTATAAGCATTTTTATGAATATTAAGTCCTGCTTTTTTTTTCTTTACATAGGAATATCGTTCAGAAAAATCTCTTGAAGAATTGAGTAAACTTGTGCCACCAGAATGCCACTGGTATGATCCTTTTTTCTGAAAGAGATTTCTACCCCTTTAAGAATAGAAATTGAGTGTGACTAGTACAATATCCTTTGCAGCCCCAGCTTTGACTAAACATAAGGAAGAAACGATTAATCTGACATGAAAAATTCTTGCTTTGATCAATATAGCAAAATTGCACTGTTTAAAGTTCTAATTTTGATATTCTTGAAACATAGCTTTATTCAACAGTTTATTGTATGTGCTGCTGAGCACTGTTCTGAGCAGAGTAATGAAATAGATCCACATGATTTAAGAAGGTTTCTTTGATTTTCATGTTTTAACTTTAAACGACTAGTCAGTTTTCCCAATGATTTTTCTATCATTTGAGCATTTTTATTAATAAGAGCACACAAACATCAGTGGCTTGGCTTTTTTTTTTCCTCCAAAAACCATGGTAATTTCTCTGTTTCATGTTACAGTGTGCGTGAAGGAAAATTAGAGCATACACTTGCCCGAGACTTGGTTCCAGGTGATACGGTTTGCCTTTCTGTTGGGGACAGAGTTCCTGCTGATTTACGCTTGTTTGAGGTAAGTTTGAGGATATATTTATGAGAAGTGAAAATAGTGGGTGTCAAAGGATAAAAATTAGCATTTTTAAGGATTAATATTGTTTTCACAAACTTGGTGTTCAAGTTTAAATAGTGGCAAAAGTAAACATTTTTTCCCCTTAAAATATATCTGTCTCTCTTATATATTCTTTTGAGGTATGCATAAGCATATATTTATGTTTTGAGGTATGAATAAGCATATATTTATGAAAACCTGTGTTTTAGGCACTCTGGGAGACAAAAAGAGGTGATAGGATTCTTGTAATTAGGAGTATACTATATGTATATGCAAATTACTTATTATAAAACAAGATAGAATTTAGTAATTAAGAAAAGTTCATTTTTCTCATTTAGTTGAAAGAACGCCTCAGACAACAACATGGCTTTGGCAGGGACAAAAAGAGTAGTACTGAATAGAGATAGAGAAGACAGTGGAGCAGCTGTATTCAGATCTTTGTGTTTACTGAGCATATGAATACAACATGGAGGTTGTTATCTCCAAGGTCTTTGTAACTTTTTGCTCCCTTTGCCTGAAATGCTTTCTCCACTTCATGGCCCTCAGCTTTGGAGTCCTCATGTCTGTCTGGGCTCAGCAGAAGGGTTACCTTCTTTTGAGGGGTGTTCTCTTTTATCTGAAATGTTGCTCTATCCGTATTATACTTGTGTTTTTTTCCTACTTGATAGTATAGATTTATGCTTGTTTATTTTTAGAAACATTTTCCCATTAGAATAATAGCTGAGGATAAAAACTTTATTTTGTTTACTGCTGATTCTCCTACTATATTTGATACCACAGGGTACATTGTAAGCACTAATAAATGTTTGTTGAATGAATGAATGAATGGCATTGATGAAATCAGACCTGTTTTGTTACAGAGATGGGAGGAAGGAGAATCTGAACCAATTTTTTATAATTATTTAAGACTTAAGTTTTTTAATGCTTATTAAAAAATGAATATTTCTTCATATATTATAGCTAAGCTTTATATATGTAGCTAAGCTAGTGGCTGCCTCCCTTCTGCTCTATGTGCCTTTTTCCTCCTCCCACAAAAAGAGAAAGAAGAGGGAAAATTTGAATAGTAAGAATCCTGTATGAGAATATGAGCTTACCTAGAATAACAGTGAGAATGCCCAGTAATTCAGTTGCTTGAGGTTCATTTCTTTTGTTTCCTTTCCAGGATTTAGTCCAGTGTGTAGAACATAGATAATGTAGTTAAGTATTTGTTGGGTAAGTGAATTAGCCTGCACAATTGTTAAAATCATGAACTAGCTCTTAGTTTCCCCCAAAGTGTCCTTTAGACCCTTGAATAAGAGCTTCTGACATAAAGTTCATTCTCAAACATGCATTAGAATGGAGGGTTTGTAAGTAGTCTGTTAGGTTTACTTTCCTCACCCTTGGTTTAAGGTACAATTGCATTAATAAGCTCTCGGGTGGTAAAAATGATACTGGTTCTACTGCTCTTGCTGGGAACTTCTGCTATATTCCCCATGAGCTGAATCTTTCTAGTTTATTGAGAGTTTTGAGATATACTACATTAGGGGAAACTGTTTAACTTTTAACTAATTATTTGCAAAACTAACTTACTCTCAGTATCCTCCCCTATACGTATGTATGTATCTATCTACTAGATTACACATAATGCTTGTTATAACATGTTTGGAAGATATTCTTCTGTGGTCCATACTTTCAGAAACATAGTTAGTCCATATCTGCAGCACTTTTCTACACATAAAATGATGATTTATTTGTGTGCTTGGGTAGGTGAATATTAAGAGTGAAACCCTCAGAATTGGACTGTGTTGCAGAGTGGGAAGACACATTCTCATATTCATGATCTGCATGGAAATATTTATGTACATTTTTTGTTCTTATATAATTTAATTTGAAATAATATAGGAATGTATAGCAAGAAGAATTTTAAGAAAATAGAGTGCCAAGTGATGAAATGATTGTCTCAGTGCCTTTTTAAAAAACCTTTATTCATATACCTCTTTTTATCATGATTGGCTTTAATCTGCCAAACATGTTTTCAGAACTTTAGGGCATGATGAAACTAGGTAATGATGTTTTGTCATGAAAGTTGAGTTTTCTCTAGAAAGAGAATCTCAGCTATGGTCTCTGTTTCTCTCATGGTATTTTTAAGTTTAGGCTAACCTAGTCTTATGGTAGAGCATTCTACTTTGTATGTCTCAAGTTTTGTTGACCTCATTTAAAAAGTATGATTGATTTTGGTCTTTTGTTGTAGAGTAATGGTTAATGACACAAGATGAAGGTAATCCATGGAACTGGGATATTTAAGGAAGAAGTAATTGTTAGGAACTCTTAAGATGTTAAATGAGAACAAACTTGAATTTATGGAATGTTTTGTTTTCTAAGGCTGTGGATCTTTCCATTGATGAGTCTAGCTTGACAGGAGAGACAACACCTTGTTCTAAGGTGACAGCTCCTCAGCCAGCTGCAACTAATGGAGATCTTGCATCAAGAAGTAACATTGCCTTCATGGGAACGCTGGTCAGATGTGGCAAAGCAAAGGTAGTTTTCTGGTTTTTTTTTTTTTTTTTTTCCCCTAAACATTTCCTTTGTTTTTACCATTTTCTTAATTCTTTTCTGCTAATTTCATGTGTATTTGTTTTTTAAAATAACAAAGAGAAAGCAGTATTGACTCTAACCCTTGTCAGCTATTTGTGAGATTGAAGAGAAGCTATGCCCTTGAAATACAAATATATGAAATATATCCATAGTTTTGCCATCTGTTAGATCATAGGCCTTATCTGTTCCTTTTTGTTTTGTTTCTGTAGTTCTGGGGATTGAACCCCACAGGCTGTATAGGCCCTTTTTTGTTTTTATTTTGACATAGAGTCTCACTCAGTTGCCCAGGCTGGCCTCAAACTTGTAATCTTCCTGCCTTAGCCTCATAAATTACTAGGATATTATAGGAGTATTTTCCATTCATGGCATATCTGTTCCTTTTTATAGATAAATAGTGGTTTCATGGTTATGTTCATTACTAGTTAAAAAGTTTTTTAATTTAGTTAATATGGCTATAATGTTCTGTCTACATAGTGTTCACCTAATTACTGATCAATGTCAACTATTTTGCTCTCTGGATTCTAGTACTGCACGAATATAAAAGGCACCATTGAGTAGCATGGGGGGTGGAAATAAGAAATTACCATTAAATGTCTGAGTATAAGACAGATTTGAATTTTATAAATACTAATACACATAAAAGGGAGTCATGATTGAGTCAGTAATAAGTTTAATAAGATGTTTATTTACAAGGTTTGTGTTATAATGGGTAAATACTAATGATGATGACATAAAAAATTTGCTAAGGGAGCTCTTGGATGTGTTGTCAGGTCTATGGATAGTCTTTGAAGAATGGGACTAAAAGGTGTTTTTTTTTTGTATGTTTTGGATGAGAGAAGTGATTCTATCTGAATGCAAATGAATTTTCCTGCTTTTCCTGTTATTAGGGTATTGTTATCGGAACAGGAGAAAATTCTGAATTTGGAGAAGTTTTTAAAATGATGCAAGCAGAAGAAGTGAGTACTTAATATTTTGATGATGTATTTGTTTCAATTCTGAAATATTTGATCATTAAGTAGAGGAAATGAGAATGTTGGTGGATTCTTGTGTATACTACTGAAAGCAATATTTTGTTATCACTCAGATGTCTTTGTTTAGAAACATAATTCGGAAGCTTATAATAGGTAGGTCCTAAATTTACAATGTCAGTATTCCAAAAGATTTGATCTTTATTTGTTATTTATAGTAGAATGAGATTTATAGTCATAATTTTTTAATAGATAATGCTCTTTGTAGAAATTGGCTTTACTATATCAATTTTAAAGACTACCGTTTTTTTTATTTGGTGCTGGGAATTAAACTCAGGGCATCACATGTGCTAAGTATGTGCTGTACCTTTGGATTACTAATTATTATGTTATTGTGTACCTCAGAACATAGCTTCTATTAAAATTTCTATCTACATAATTCCAGGTTTGGGGTGGCAGGAGAATTGCCAAATAAAGGAACATAGAAGATATTTTTGATGAAAAGTATTAAAGATGCATTTTCTCTTTTAAAATGCTTTTTATGTATAAAAAAGGGAGTTGTGTTCTGTAAATGTCGTATTCTTCCAAAATCTGGATTTCTCAAGTAACTTGTAAGACTCAACTTGTGATACATTGTAGAAATCCATTCCACGGAAGTTAGCAATCAGGGAGCCTACAGGATTAAAAAATCTGGAATGTTTGTGGATATAGGAAGGAGAAAAATTGGAAGTGTAAGGGAGCTAGCTGATGGTAATAAAGTCTTGGAGAAACATGTAGGAGAGAGAGAGAAGTTTTTTCCTCAGTGGGAAGCATAAAGAGAGTGGATCTTTTAAATTAAATAGGGTTTTAAAAATCGGGAGTTTTTCCATTTCTTACTGTGTGACCTTGAGTATCATTTAAAATCTTAAGCTTCAGTTTCTTTAGTTAAGGTGGTAATATTTAGCTTATGGGGGAGTTCTGTGGTTAACTTTTTGGAATGGGTATGTCAATCCCTTAGCAGAGTTCCTAGCACCTGGTAAAGTATATTAAATTTAGCTAATTGTGATACTCTCTAATTTGTCAAGGCACCAAAAACCCCTCTGCAGAAGAGCATGGATCTCTTAGGAAAACAACTTTCCTTTTATTCCTTTGGTATAATAGGTAAGAGAAGAGTGAGTATGTATATATTTTATTTTTACTCGGGCTTGCTTTTCTGAGTGTGAAGGGTAGAGTTGTTATAGTCATATTTATTTGCTTTCTTTAGAATTTTTTTTTTAAATTATAAAACCAACCTTGAACCATTGTCTTTTTCTAGAAAAAACAAATGGAGGGGGGGAGGAATGAACTCTGTAATTTCTCTAATCAGCATTTCTGTAAATATTTTAGTATTGTTACTGTGATAGCATTATTTTATGGACAGGGCTTTTTTGTTTAACCTATCCTGTCATAAACATCTTGTCATCAAATGGATGGTTCATCTAAAACAAATTTGAAAGGTGGCATAATGTTTGATTTTGTGAATTTATCATACATCTTTTTAGACATTTCTTTAGGTTTTTAATTTTTTAATATACACTTATAATTCTTAAGTGCCGATACTTCATTATAAATAACTCTTGTTTCTTTAGGACACATGTTTAGAAGTAAAGTTATTGATTCAAGAGTATCCATGTAATTTTAAAGCTTTTTGTCAACTTTGACTTTTGTCATTAACTTCACAGGTGAAAAAAATACTTTATTTTGTAGTTCATTATTAAAAAAACTGTATACTTTGTCAGATGTCTGTTGAGTCCTTTTATTTAAGTCCTTTTATTTACAAGGCATTTCTTTTGTCCTGTCTTATGGCTTGAGTTAGATTGGTAGCAGCTTTTTATATAAGTAGGATATCAATTATTTTCTTGCTTAAGTTTCAGTATTTTTTCCCCTAATTTTAAAATTGCTTTGGAGTGATAGATAATCTACTTGGTAGAAGGGAGATGTAATTGAAACATTCTCTTCCTGAGTCTTTTAGCACCCTTTTATTGATGATTTCTGCGTTTATGGTTTCTGCTGTTTTTCTGTTCGTAAGGACTTGCTAACTCCATGTTTATAAGAATGTTTATAAACAGTGTTTTATTATAGTTTTTCTCTTATTCGTTTATTTATGACCTTGCTAGGGTTGGAACCCAGGGCCTTGCACATGCTAGAAAAATGCTTTACCTTTGAGCTACTCTTTGTAGATTGTATCCCCTTTATAGTTTGAATTTTTGATACTTAATTTACTGTTTTATTTAAAATTTATTTTAAAATTATACAGCTGATGGAAGAGGTATAAATTTTTTACTCAAGTTATTTTTTCTAGTACCATTAATTTTATAATCCATTCTTTATTCAATAACTATATTTTGTTTATGTATTATTTTTATTTTTATGTGGTACTATGGATCAAACCTAGTGCTTCACACATACGAGATAAGCATTCTATCTACCACGAGCCACAACCCCAGCCTTCAAATGACATTCTTATAATACATTAAATACGTGTATTAATTTTAGAGTCTCATCTTTTTTTACTTTTCTACCTTTTTAATATTATAGCTATCTTAGTGTTTTAAAGTCAATAGTGCAATTTAAAGCAATATTTATGTTACATAATTTCAGTTATAATTCTTTATTAATGCTGTTTTACTGTCTTTATATTCGTACACATTTATGATAATCTGTTGTAATCTTAAACATAATGTAGAAGACTTTTGTGTTCAACTGGTGTGTACTTATAGCTACTTTCATTTGATGATTGCTACTTACAGAAATTTAATGGCAAATTTGATAAGTTGAAGGATGTTCTAGCTAATTTTCAGTTTGTATTAACACTGTGCCATAAAACCATCTCAAATTTACTGATAAATATGCTTCACCCTAAGATTATCTGATTTTATATGGGGATAAAACAATTGGGCCTAGTTTTTCTTGTCAGGGTAATCTTTGGAATAGGATGAAGTCAGGATGTAGATTGTGGTCAAAATATAGATTGTGAAGGACTAGATGATAAACGTTTTAGACTTGTGGTTCATATGGTCTCTGTCAGATATACTTAACTTTGCCATCAGCTTGAAAACAACCATAGATAGTAGGAAATAAAGGGACATGATTGTGTTCCAATAAACTGTTTACAAACACAGGTAGGAGGCCCACAGATTATAGCTTTCTGACTCCTAGTATAATTCATTGGATGTAATTTCTTTTATCAGGGTAGTATTTAGGTTAGGATCTTAGAGGGCCATTTTCTAGATATTATAGTTACAAAAAGATATGAAAAGACTAGTTTTAAATTTCAGTATTCAAATAGAATACAATCTTAAACTAGTTATTTTATTAAATATCCCATTTTCCTCAAAAACCTGGTGGTGTACCCTATTCTTTTTAAAGATAAAAAGTGAAAGCAGAAAGTATGGTTTATGTTTATTGTCTTACTCATTTTTTAACTTGAAAGTAACAACTTTTAAATGTTAAAATGTGTTAATTGTCCTATGTGAGTCAGGTCCTAAGTCTCCTTTCATATGCAGTATAAATCTTAATGTTTGTACAAACTGTAATGTGTGATGTCTGGATACTAAGTTCTGAAAAGTAAAAGTACAACATTTATTTTTGCAAAGTTGATAATAAATAGAAGAACTATGTGTTTTATAGGTCTGCCTTCTTTTTTCCTATGGTATAAAAATTATGGTAATGTTTTATTGAACCATCAGTTATTACTCAAGGGATGGATGGGAGCAGTGGTAACCAGAGGTAAAACATGCACAGTATTAGATTTAAGCAGTGTTAACTTTAAATTGCTCTGCTTAATGGATTTGTAAAACCTTGTAATTGTGATCTGATATATTTTCCATTTCATATGAATGAACCTTTTAAATATCCTCAGCTTGTTATTCTGTCCCTTCTAGGTGATGCTATAGAAAAGGGAAAAATAGCTATCTAATTTTGTTCCAGGTATCATCATGTTGGTTGGCTGGTTGCTAGGGAAAGATATCTTGGAAATGTTTACAATTAGTGTAAGGTAAGTTCTAATACTTTGTTTGTAAGTGAAACTTCTTGTTGCCTACCTTCTCTGGTAGAGATAGCTTACATATTTCATTGTGTAGGTCAGTACTATATGGATCCCAGAAGAGTATAATATCTATATTTAAATAGTTCAAAACCCATATATTGAAATGATATCTGGGAAAGTGAAAACCTACATATTTGGCACTGGAAAAAATTAGTATTAGATGTCTGGACTTATTAACCACCTATTGCATTTTCATGTATAAATAGATAAGGATTGCCAAATAGAAAACTAGCAGCATGAAAGATAAAGAACACAATATAGTGTATATATGCCACATTGTTTTAATCCATTTATATATTGAAGGGCATCTAGGTTGGTTCCACAGTTTAGCTATTGTGAATTGTGCTGCTATAAACATTGATGTGGCTGTGTTCCTATAGTATACTGTTTTTAAGTCCTTTAGCTGGGTCAAATGGTGGTTCTGTTCTCAATTTTGCAATCTCCATACTGCTTTCTATATTGGCTGCATCAATTTGCAGTCCCACCAGCAGTGTATGAGTGTACCCTTTTCCCCACATCCTCGCCAACACTTATTGTTTGTAATAGCTGCCATTCTGACTGGAGTGAAATGACATCTTAGCGTAGTTTTGATTTGCATTTCTCTAATTGCTAGCAATGATGAACATTTTTTCCATATATCTGTTGATTGACTTTATATCATCTTCTGAGAAATGTCTGTTAAAAGAGAATAAAATCATGCCTTTTGCAGGGAAATGGATGGAGTTAGAGAAGATAATGCTAAGTGAAGTTAGCCAATCCCAAAAAACCAAATGCTGAATGTTTTCTCTGATATAAGGAGGCTGATTCATAGTGGGAGGGGGATCATGGGAGGAATAGATGAACTCTAGATAGGGCAGAAGGGTGGGAGGGGAAAAGAGGGTATGGCTTTAGAAATGATGGTGGAATGTGATGGACATTATTATCCAAAGTACGTGTATGAAGACATGAATTAGTATGAATATACTTTGTATACAACCAGAGATATGAAAAATTGTGCTCTATATGTGTAATAAGAATTGTAATGCATTCTGCTGTCATATAGAAAAAAAAATTAAGAAAGTATTGATGAGATAACAGGAAAAAAGAGAACACAATATAGAAATTAAGGGAAAAGAACTCAAGGAATAGAAGGTGAATTTAAAAATAAAGTATCTATTTTCAGAGGTTTGTTGCATTCATGATAGAGCAATAGAGTATTGTATATAAGGATCAGAAAACAAAAAGTTTTTATTATTAAGATTATGATTGCCAATATTAAAAATTCTATTGTAATACCATAGTATGAGGTTGAAGAGATCTCTCGAAAGATTGAATAAAAGGGCTAAAAGAGATAAAAGTGACAAAGAATTGGGGCTGGGGATGTGGCTCAAGTGGTATCGCGCTTGCCTGGCATGCGTGCGGCCCGGATTCGATCCTCAGCACCACATACAAACAAAGATGTTGTGTCCGCCGAAAACTAAAAAATAAATATTAAAAATAAAAAAAAATAAAAGTGACAAAGAAAAATAATTTTAGGAAATACTTCTTCAATAGCAGTTTCAAAAAGGTAAGGGGAAATTATATATGAAGGAATACAAGAATATTTTCTCAAGCTAAAGCAAAAAGCAAGTCTTCATGCATTGAAAGGATTTGCCAAGCACAATGAAAATAATTCTAACCTACATATATCATGGTGAAACTAAGGAAAACAAATCAGGTCATCTGCAAAGAAAGTATAATTAGATGTCATTAGACTTCTCTTTAGCAATCAGAATTTCCATGACAAGGCCTTTCTAGGTTCTACTTAAACATTTTGACTCACAACACTTTCACAGACCACATCTGGTACCTGTGCCCTGAATACGCAGGTTTAAGTTCAGACACCCCTCTTCTGAGAGTTCTTAACAGCAGTACACGCAGCATTTCACTCAAGCACACAGAGATGAAGTCAGCCTTGTGAGTGCAGGAACTACACTGGGTTAAAATGAGCCTTGTGTCCCTTTTTAAGCCAACGTTTGCTTAAAAACTTTCCAGGGTTCCCTGCGCATGTGTGGTTACAAGAGTCACTTGTTCTTGGTAAATGGAAAGCTAGAGCTTCCTGTAAATAGTTATGATTCTCCTAGTCCAGGAACAGTTTATCAGAGGATCCCTTTATTACAAGTGGTGTTGCCTAGCAATGTACCTGACCTACTACCTTATCAGGTTACTAAGGGGAACAGAATTAGTTAATTTTTTTTTTTTTAATTTTTTATTGTTGGTTGTTCAAAACATTACAAATTTCTTGACATATCATATTCCACACTTTGATTCAAGTGGGTTATGAACTCCCACCTTCACCCCATACACAGATTGCAGAATCACATCAGTTACACATCCATTGATTTACATATTGCCATACTAGTGTCTGTTGTGCTCCGCTGCCTTTCCCATCCTCCCCCCTCCCCCCTCCCCACCTCTCCCCTCCCCTCCCCTCCTCTCTCTCTACCCCCTCCACTGTATAACCCTGAGGGTCTCCTTCCATTTCCATGCAATTTCCCTTCTCTCTCCCTTTCCCTCCCACCTCTCATCCCTGTTAAATGTTAATCTTCTCCTGCTCTTCGTCCCTACTCTGGTCATAGTTACTCTCCTTATATCAAAGAAGACATTTGGCATTTGTTTTTTAGGGATTGGCTAGCTTCACTTAGCATAACCTGCTCTAATGCGATCCATTTCCCTGCAAATTCTATGATTTTGTCATTTTTTAATGCAGAGTAATACTCCATTGTGTGTAAATGCCACATTTTTTTTATCCATTCATCTATTAAAGGGCATCTAGGTTGGTTCCACCGTCTTGCTATTGTGAATTGTGCTGCTATGAACATCGATGTAGCATTGTCCCTGTAGCATGCTCTTTTTAGGTCTTTAGGGAATAGACCAAGAAGGGGAATAGCTGGGTCAAATGGTGGCTCCACAGAATTAGTTAATTTTATTAACTTTTCCATCTGTAGAAATATCAGATTACATTAGACAACAACAGAACACTGATATGAATGTTTAAGGGAAAATGATTACAAATCTGTAAGTTGAAGAGACAACTCAGTTGATACAAATAAGGAAGCAACTATTTAGAATATTTGCTTCTTACCTTATACTGATATAAATTCCAGCAAAATTAAGGTTGAAAGAAAAGATGATGATGTATAGATATAAGAAAGGATAGAACTGATCTCACCTGGACATCTTAAGAAGAAGGAAAACAAATCCTCCATGTTGTGTCTGTAGTGAGCCTAGGAAGTAAAAATTCAAATATTAGAACAAAATCAGTGTATTGCAGGGCCAGGGTTGTGGCTCAGTGGTAGAGCGCTTGCCTAGAATGCATAAGGCAGTGGGTTCCATCCTCGGCACCACATAAAAATGAAAACAAACAAAATAAAGGTATTGTGTCCACCTACAGCTAAAAAAAATACTTAAAAAAAATAAAAAAAACTTTAAAAAATCAATGTATTTGAAAAGGAAAAATTGAATACATTACAAGACTAGATAAGATGAATAAGAAGTAAATATATATTTGAGATACAGTGGAAACTTTTATGTTTTAATTTTTTCTCAAAAGAACTAAAATGCAATGTGAAAATCTTGGGATCGAACCCACTGCCTCATGTATGCTAGGCAAGCACTCTACCACTGAGCCCTGAAATACATTGATTTTGTTCTAATATTTGAATTTTTACTTCCTAGAGTCTGTATAAAATAAAAAAGCCATGAGACAAAGATGAAATAAATTAAAAATGGGGCATGAATTTGAGACATTAACCATTGGCATGTGATTGGACCCACTTTTAATTATTGAGGATTTTTTTGAGCAGTTCTGTTTGTAAAGATGGACCTATTGTGACTTTTTATTTTTTCTTCAAGATCTTCTAGAGTACAAAAAAATTAACACTTTTGTAATAAAACAAAATTCATTCTAGTTTGCAATTACCATATTGGGTCCTTTGGACTCTTATAAAGTTAAGATCCATTATGATATCTTTTTTTTTTGGGGGGGGGAGGGTACCTGGGATTAACCTCAGGGGCACTCAACTACTGAGCCACCTCTCCAGCCCAGTTTTGTATTTTATTTAGAGACAGGGTCTCACTGAGTTGCGTAGAGCGCCTTGATTTTGCTGAGGCTGGCTTTGAACTCAATATCCTCCTACCTCAGCCTCCTGAGCTGCTGGGATTACAAGCGTGCACCACAGTGCGCAGCCACATTATGATATCTTTAGTTATCTAATTTTTTCTATTTCTTGAAACATTTGATATTTTGTCATCCTAAAAATTATTTTAATAATTATTTCCAAATGTGTTAAAAATTACTAAGTAAGAAAGCAGATGATGGAATGGCCTGGAAAACTGATGTAATAATAAAAAAGTAAATCATCACTATTGTATTTTCCTTTATTTTTTTTTTATTGTGTTGCTCAGGATTTCATTTAAATAGGTATAAAAGAAATCTGGAGAGTGTCTTTGTAGTTTTTTTATTGTAGCAGTCAGCAAACCTGAGAATTCAATAGTTTTTCACTTTCTCTCTGATAAAGAGAATCAACAGAAAAGATATATAGTTATTAGACAAATCAGAAGATTAATGCTGAGCGCTAGGTAAAAAGCTCTGAAAGCTATAGTGAAATGGGTAAAATTAATCATTTAATTGAAATCTCAAGAGTATGAGTTATTAGATAATGATAAGTTTTCTTACACTTGTGGATTGATAAGGAAACCTTCTATTTCTAAGGACAAAAAGAAACATGTTTCAGTTACTCTACAGTAAGGATTTTCTCAGGCAGTGTTTTTCTGCAAGAATCTGGATCATCCTTCTTTGCTAAAAGAATATATAATGGTATCCTTTCATCTTTCATGGTACTTATGTCATGCTTTTTACATATAAGTGGAGAAATGCTAATTAGTGGTATGAATATAAAGGTGATTAAAAGGAAATAAGCAGAAATGGAAAAATTCATTTAGGTGCTTGTAGATCTAAAATTGGAAATGTTTTGTATGTATGAAGCAAGGTATCTGTCCTCTTTTCTGCAAAGTAGCCATCAGCATTTTCAGAAGTGTTGCTTTTTTTTAAAATTAATATTTTCTTTAGTTGTAGGTGGACACAATAGATTTATTTTATTTACTTTTATGTGATGCTGAGGATCAAATCCAGTGCCTCACAGGTGCTAGGCAGGTGCTCTACTACTGAGCTACAACGCCAGCCCCAGAAGTGTTACTTTTTGATAGGACAAACGCAAAAAGAGGAACCAGGATTGATATGCTAGAACCTGTTAGAATGTTTTTTTGAAATCTGAAATCAGTATTATAAGATCAGTATGTTCCAGGTTTATGAATGACAGTTGAGGGCTGGGGATGTGGCTCAAGCGGTAGCGCGCTCGCCTGGCATGTGTGTGGCCCGGGTTCGATCCTCAGCACCACATACAAACAAAGATGTTGTGTCTGCCAATAACTAAAAAATAAATATTAAAAAATTCTCTCTCTCACTCTATTAAAAAAAATTCTCAGTATTAAAAAAATGAATGACAGTTGATGAGTATTTTGTTACATCCAAAGGATGTTGCCCATTTTATATATATATGAAATATATATACACACACACACACACACACACATACATACATACATATGTATGTATTTGCACATATACATTCAAATCCAGGGTAATTTTGGATTAAAATGAAACTGAAAGTTTCTAATGTGACTTTTTAAAATCTGTTTATTCCTGTATAAATTATTTATAAAATGACAAATATAAAGGGTTTATTGGATGTAGATTATAAATCATGATGGCCTCTTTTCCTGACTTAATGAAGATAGGTGGAAGTATTAAGAGAAGTGGATTCCATTTGAGCTAGAAAATTCTTAAGAGTATTCCAAAGGAGAGAAGGAAGTATTAATGTAACTTTGCAGTGTATGCTTTTAGGTAATCACTGTGTAAATGTTCTAGTTTACTTTCAGCCTTTAGAATCAATCTGTAAACAAAACATAGAAAGGTTAATTATGGCTCTAGAACAAGTTGTTAATAATATTAAATTAGATCGTACTGAAGGAAAAGTAGATATTATAAATCAGGGTGTAGAAGCATAAGAGGAAATAGCCATAGAATGAAGGATAGGAGTATTTTTGTACTTGGGGTGGCACATGAAATATGGAACTTGTTTTGTTAGGTAATAGAAGGAAATAGTGAATTAAAAAATTGTGATAAAGTGTACATGCCATAGAATATTTCATTTTAAAGTGTACAGTTCATTGGAGTTAAGAATATTCAGTGTTTTATGATCACCACTGTTATCTAGTTTCAGAACTTTGTCAACACCCCAAAAGAAAACCCTGTGCCTCAACAGCCTACAGTCCCTAGCAACTACTAGTCTGCTTTGTCTCTATGAATTTTTGTATACTAACTATTTCATATGAATGGAATTGCATAATATGTGGCCTTTGTGTCTCACTTGCTTTACTTAACATGTTTTCAGTGATTACCCATGTTGTAGATTAGTATTTTATTTCTTTTTATGGCTGAATGATACATTCATCAGTTGATGGACATTTGGCTCATTTCCATCTTTTGGTCATTGTGAATAATGCTATAAACATTCATATGATTTTTTTTTTAAGTGCTGAATGTTGAACCCAGAGCTTAGCATATACTAGGCAAGCACTGTTTCTCTGAACTACATTTCACCCCCCACAAGTTTTTGATCTTGTTTAATGTCTATTCTTCATATTTTATAGAATACATAGGTGTATTAATAAATAGCCAGTAGTCCAGGGTCTCACAAGTAAAAGTCAGTGAATCCAGGTATGCCAAACAAGGCAATTTGATGTCAGAATCTGTATTTTTTTTAACCATTGTGCTTAACCTAGAAGCTAATAGGTGTCCAGTAATTGACTTTCCTTTCCTTTTTGAGAAGTCTGTTTTGGGCAATTGACAGAATTAACTTTGATATTTTAAGTAATTTCCAATTCAAATTATTGTTGTACTGATTAACTTGCATCTTTAATACTTTGTATATATTGATTATAGTTTGGCTGTAGCAGCAATTCCTGAAGGTCTTCCTATTGTGGTCACAGTGACATTAGCCCTAGGTGTTATGAGAATGGTGAAAAAACGGGCCATTGTGAAAAAACTGCCTATTGTTGAAACTCTGGGTAAGTCTGTTGTTAAAAACATTCTTATGCAATGATGTGTTTGTTCATATCAGCAGTGAATCATGTTTGGGTTTTAGTTTTTGTCTTAGCAGTTTGCACAATGATGTTTGACTTGAGTACTGTTTCATATGGTATTAGAAATCTTTTGCATTGTTGAATGTTCTAATGCTTGAATCATGGTGAAAAATCAATAGCAAATTAAACAGTAAAATTAATAGAATTTTTTCTTTTGACATCTCTCAGAAAATAATTGATAATTACAGATTCCAAAGTGTCATACTTGAGTTGAATTTGCTTATAAGAACAGTAAGTATATAATAGTTATATATTCGTCTAATATAACTTTATTCATGATATGCTGTGAAATTTAAAAAAATACTTAGGTTGTCCAAAATTATATTAAATTTAATTTCTAATTTGCATTTTAATGTTGAGAAAGTGAAATACTTCAAAAAATTTCTACTGAAGAAATTATGTGGATATATATTTAGGAACCCTCCAATCCTTCTAGAAAGTGTATTATATACAATCATAGCATAAAATTAATATGGAATAGCTTTGTAGAAACTAAATAAGAAAAGGTGAACATCTAATTATTTTTAATTTCAGAAAATTTACCTTATGGTGAGAAATTAATTTAAAATTATGAATGAGTTGATCTGTGTAAAATTTAGAGACTAGGACAGTGTTCCAGAGTCTGATTTATTTTATAAGTCAAGCTGTATTTTTCCCTCATTCTTTTGATAACACATAATGATTTGTTCTCTAGGCTGCTGTAATGTGATTTGTTCAGATAAAACTGGAACACTGACGAAGAATGAAATGACTGTTACTCACATATTTACTTCAGAGGGTCTGCATGCTGAGGTATTCTATGGTTTTTGTTTTTTTTTTAAAACAATAGCAGACCTTTGTTAAGAAGCTTGGTATTTAACATTCCTGACAATTCCAATGTTTTAGCATCAGAAGATCTATTAACTTAGCAGCAGAGTTATTTCCTTCCCATATGACTCTACTACTAGGTCTTTGTCTTACTTGGATACTTGTTCAGTTCAGAAACTTTAATTCCTCCTTGGTACTCCTTTTAATCACCATCTGTCAGCCAGTCCTGCCAATTTTCACTTCAATAACTTTCCTAACCATTTATTTTGTAGTTAGCTTCCCTAGTTTCAGATGGCCTTCTGATAAAGCCTCTCTACTAGTCTTTTTGTATCCATTGATGCACTTACTCTCTGAAGTTCAAGGGATTGTTTCAGAGTTGAAATTTGAACATGTCACTCCCTAAATTAAAATACTTCAGTGGTTTTTCATTGTGTTCAAAATCCTGATATCAAGGCCTTATATGATCTTTTCTTTTTCTCTCTCCAGCCATATATGCTGCCTGCTTTGGTTACTATACAGCAAACATATGGTTTTACAGTTCTTCCCAATGTGACAAAATTCCTCCTAGGACCTTAGCTGCTGTTCTTACTTCTTCAGATAGTCTGATGTCTTTTCATCCTTTGCACTTAAATTCAGCCTCACTTTTTCAGAAGAGCTTTGTAGACCACCCACAGCTGCCCTATGTTATGTGTTTATTTAGCATTCCATATCTCATTAGCCTTTATCTCAGGTGAAATTTACTGTCTTTTTTCCTGTTATGCTATGAGTTAGAACAGGAACTCTGTTGACTAGCTTAGGACCTGTATTATAATAATAAATACTTGAATGGGTGAATGAGTAATAACTTTTTAAAAAATTGTATATTGATAATTTCAAGTGCACATCTTTGTGGTGGTTCTTTCGGAAGCTGGTTGAAAACAAGTTCCTTTTGTTCTCAGTCTTGGCAAGATTTTCAACTGCAACACTATTTAATAGGGGTACAGTATTTTAAAATATATTTGCAGCTACTTTACTGAGCAAAGTAAGCATTAGACAGATTGACAAAGTTGGATTTATTTAGGTCCATTTTACATAAAATGAAACTATTGTTATTTAGTGTGTGAAATTTGATCAAGGTCACCCAAAGCTATGTTGGTGAATCTTCCTTCTTTAAGTCTTCTTTAGGTCTTCTTTTCCTTTTTTAAATCTATGATTTTTGTATTTCCAGCATTAACCATTTGTTAATTATTTTCTCTCTAAACTATATTATTTTTAATATAAAATTTGGATATTTTGGTTTGATGGATTCTAGCCGTATAGAATTAAGTATCTGCCTTGTTTCTTTTGTTTTTAAAATTGGTATGTTATGGATTACATTAAATAGTTTTTATAAGTACTAGCGTAAATTTCTTAATGTCTCTGAGCCTGAATATTTATGAAAAGAATTTAGCTTTTATTTCGGTCATAGTGTCAGGTGTTAGATGTGGTAATGGATTTGAGTTCTTTGCAAATTGTAAGTGTAGCATTACATAAATTTAAGCTCATTTGTCTGTAGAGTTTTTCATGGTTTACCCATACTTTTTTGAGGGGTTGGGGTACCAGGGATTGAACTCAGGGGCACTTGACCACTGAGCCACATCGCTAGTCCTATTTTGTATTTTATTTAGTTACAGAGTCTCACTGAGTTGCTTAGCAGCTCGCCTTTACTGAGGCTGGCTTTGAAATTGCCAGCCTCATGCCCAGCTTACCCATACTTTTTATATTATAAGCAGAAGACAAAATCTTTTTAGGTTAATCATTGTGAAAGTTAGAATCTATTCTTTTAACTATTACATGTTCTTCAGACCAATTTTTATTGCTTTTTTAGGTTTATACTTCAACAACATAAAAAAGAACGTAGCTCAGGATAATTTTTGGTTTTCATAAGTGTTGTCACTACTGTTTGTATTATTGATTCCACTTTATTTTCCTTAGGTTACTGGAGTTGGCTATAATCAGTTTGGGGAAGTAATTGTTGATGGTGATGTTGTTCATGGATTCTATAATCCAGCTGTTAGCAGAATTGTTGAGGTAAATAGTTTATTCCAACAAGGTATCTTTCTTTATTATAACTTAAAGACACAATGATGCATTCATAGTTTTTATGTATTTCACAGGCGGGCTGTGTGTGCAATGATGCTGTAATTAGGAACAACACTCTAATGGGAAAACCAACAGAAGGAGCCTTGATTGCTCTTGCAATGAAGGTATGTACCTGATTTCTTTTCTTTTCTTTTTTTTTTTTTAATATTTTTTTTCTACTTGCTGGCAGACCTTTATTTTATTCATATATTTATATGTGGTGCAGAGAATCAAACCCAGTGCCTAACACATGGCCGGCAAGTACTCTACCACTGAGCCACAACCCCAGTTCTGTACCTGATTCCTTTGACACATGAAGCATTACTCACAACAAAATGAGAGGCCATTGATTTAGGTATTAACTGAGTTTTAGATATTAAGTGAAGAAGACTGATAGTATTTCATTATTTTTGCTGTTTTTTGGGAACCAATTTTATTTGTAGAAATATAGATCATAGAGCTATTTCAGAATAGCCTCATTTTTTAAATTTTTAAAAATTTGTTCTTTTTAGATATATATGACTATATAGAGTGTATTTTGGCTTATTATACATATGTGGAGTATAACTTCCCATGCTTGTGGTTGTACATGATATGGAGATGTACTAGTTGTATATTCCTGTATGAATGTAGGAAATTAATGCCTGATTCATTCTACTCTTTCCTGTTCTCTTCCCCTTCCCTACCTTCATTTCATTTTGAACTTCTGTCCTTCCCCTCCTCCATTATTGTGTGTTAGCATCTGAATATCAGAGAGAACATTTGATCTTTAGTTTGGGGGGATTCAGCCTCATTCCTTATATGCCAGGTACAAACTAATGACCAGTGATGAATTTCTTTTTTTAATGAAGAATTGTTCCTGTCTTCCATAATACTGAGATCTGTTTGAAAAGCTTTATAACTATTTCTAATTGCTGAGAAATATTAACTTTTGAATGAGAAAAAGGCAATATTCTGTAGTGTTTTCATGTAAAGATGTTATGTAGTTACGAGAATCAGCTTTTCTTTTCCCAGTATTCACTTTTCCTCCTTTATCAATTTCTTAAAATGAGTGTCTCATTAAAATTGTGGAGAGGAGTGATGTTCTCAGTGACCTTTTGTCTGTCCCAATTTATTTAATATCCTAAATCTTAGATTTGTTTCAGTGAGAAACCTAAAATTCCATTTTGCTATTTTCCTAAGAAAAATAACTGCTTCTACTTGTAAGAGTAGTTTGCAAAAACTTTGAGAGTTGTGTGAAGTTGGATGCTTCTTAATAAGGTTATTGGAAATGAGAGCCTATAGAGAATTGTGGGTTATTTTAACATTTTATTGATAAGTTGATAGTTTTAGAACATATGTTTTCTCTATAGAAAACTACTTTTCTTTGTCATTTGGTCTCCTTGTGACTAAGAAGCATAGAATAACTGTTTTAAAAATATCAAAAAAGTGATGTCCTGTGTTACACTTTACAAGATATTAGCTTCTTGGAGAGACGAAAAACCACTTCCTTATGGTCAGAGGCCTCACATGTTAGGTAGGGAGTATAACTGATGTTCTTGGAATAAAAGTCAGACCAAGAAAATTAAATCCAAAACATTGAGCCACATTTAAGAATATTGCCGATTCATATCTGAGAGTTGAGCTTTAAAGGATAGGAAGGGGTTAAATGAAGGAAGCTAGGAAAGAGCTAGAACTAAAGCACAGAGGAATAAACAGGCACAGAATGGGTTGTGGCTAATCAGTTGGCTAAAGGTGTTTGAGTAACCAGCATGATTGTTAATAGACTACATATGGTTGGTTTCTGGAAGACCTTCAGATGCCAAAAGATTCTGAACATTATTACAGTAGAAAACAAAAACCAATAAATGAAATTTTTGAGTAGCTTAAAAATATTTTTGGATATTTGGAAGAAGATGCAAAGGATACTGAGAGGGAGAGCAACATGTGACATTGGTATTAGTAAGGATATCAAGTAATGGGGAAAAGAACTAGGATGGTAGCAACAGGCAAGACAAATTTGAGTCTCTAAGAAGTGTGGGAGATCCGAAACTTCTGTCATTTATAAAATTCTTGCTCAGTATTGGTTATCTATCTTTGCATTATATCCTGCTTCCTTCCAGAACTTGAGCTGATAGATTAATATAGTTAGACTATAACTATATATATAACTATAACTATAATTGCTGAGAAATATTAACTTTTGAATGAGAAAAAGGCAATATTCTGTAGTGTTTTCATGTAAAGATGTTATGTAGTTACGAGAATCAGCTTTTCTTTTCCCAGTATTCACTTTTTCACTGAGCTGGTAGATCAGTATTATCTGGTATATACATAGTCCAGGTAACATGCCTTAGACTATATCTACATACACAGGCTTTCAGGTTGAAAATGTATGCTACTGTTCAGGGAAATACAGTAAATGTAAATGGACTACCACTAGTTTTTCACCATTATGTGAAAAATAATCCAGTTATCTAACTAACCAAACTATAAGTCATGAAATTTGTTTGTTAAAGGAAGAATAATTACATGATGGTTAGAATTTACTTTGTGTTTTCTTTTTTTTTCCCCCCGTCTTATTTAGATGGGTCTTGATGGACTTCAACAAGACTATATCAGAAAAGCTGAATATCCTTTTAGCTCTGAGCAGAAGTGGATGGCTGTTAAGTGTGTACACCGAACACAGCAGGTATCTCTCTTTTTAAAGAATAATTATAACCTGTTGAGCTTAGGTCGCTATTTTTATTGTACCCTCTGCCTTGAGATTTAAACAATGTGTATACATTAAATAAAAGACTAGTTGTTTTAAAGTATGCATAATTAATAGTGCACCCATTTCTTCTTATTTTCTGGTTATCTTGATCTCTTTTCTCTTATAGAATCTGTGTATAGATATATTTAGTTTTGTTAGGTGCACAAATAAACATGTTGTAGCCTAGTCTCAGTTTCTTGGAGCTTGTGACATCAAGTTCTCTCCCACATGTTTTTTGTTCTAATGTTAATGGTTCATTATAGGTTTCTTCTGACTGTGTGTTGTCAATATGTATTCTTTCATTGAAGGAATGTTTTTAGAACAAACAAAACCCACTTTATTTGGTGGAAAAGTGGTTTCCAAATGTATGTAATTCATGTTGGTTGATCCAGTTTACAAACTGATAAAATGACATGCACAGGTATTTTAAGCTTTTATTTGTTCCTGGGTATTTCAGAAATTTTTGCATAATAGTTCTGAATTATCTACAGTGCATAATCATGCATTCATAGTTACTGCTACCAGTTTGATGCTTTAAATTTACTTTAAAAATATATTTATTATTGGGCTGGGGCTGTAGCTCAGTGGCAGAGTGCTTGCATAGCATGTGCGAGGCACTGAATTCGATCCTTAGCACCATATACAAATAAAATAAAGGCATTCTGCCCATCTACAACTACCCAAAAGTTATATATTATTTTTAAATTTTATTTAATATGAATGAAAAATCGCTTATGTGTTTTTTATCCCTGAACTGACCATAATCAGTTAAATTTTTTATCCCTGAACTGACCATAATCAGTTAAATTTTGTAGACAGTAATGAATAAAAGGATTCCCCCACCCATAATAAGTAGGAAACATTGGTTTTAAAAGAAAGGCCAACTTTGCCAATATTGAACTTATGAGTAGTACTCTACTAGGAATTCTGCTAATTGCTTATGTAGTTTGTTTTTGGAAGTCTTTTATTTGAATGTGACAATATACCTTTATCTCTTTTTTCTCCCTGGAATGAATAAAAAGACATAAACTCATAAGTACCTTTGAAGGCATAAGACTGAAAACAGGGGAGAAAGTAAAAATTCTGAAAGAGGAACCAACAGAACGCTCCTTTTCTACTTCTTTAGGCCAAGGCCATTGGTACTCCTTTATGCCTATGGAATATTAGAAATCTGCCCTTGGGGGCAGAAGTGAAGGGTAGGATTTAGGCTTTAAGATTAAAAGCACAATCATTTTCCTTAAGGATGAGCGCTTAGTTTTTAATTCCATTTGTCTCTTAGAATGTGTGTAGGCAGTTAGAATACTGAAGAATTTTAGAAAATCTTACTAGTCCCAGGGAGGTGTTTTTTTTAAGAGAGAGAGAGAGAAAAGAGAGATTTAATATTTATTTTTTAGTTTTTGGCGGACACAACATCTTTGTTTATATGTGGTGCTGAAAACGAACCCGGGCCGCACGCATGCCAGGCGAGCGCGCTACCACTTGAGCCACATCCCCAGCCCCCAGGAAGGTTTTAACAGTAAAGGACACTCCTAACCAAGACCTATGTTCTTTGGAAGCACTTACCTATCTCTGGGCTTCATCTCATAACCTAGAGGCAAGGTCTACCAGTTGATGAGCTCTTGTCAGTAACCATGAAGCTTCTAGTCCTTTAACTTCTTCATCCTGAATGTAAATGGACAGGGAAGGATTGCTAGATACTTGGGGAAAGTCTTTATTGTTAAAGACAACAGACCAAATCAACAGAGAAAAAGGTTTCAGAGAAATAAAAGGAATGCCAGATGTTATAGAAAATTTCCAAAGACCATAAAATTTCCAAAGTATTTTGAAAACAAAATTCTTTGAATCAGATATTTATCAAATAACTTAAGGAATCTATCAGAAAGTAGAACAAAAACTCATAGGGTGAATAGTATAGAGAGAAATTGAGAAAATTTAAAAAATTCAACATCCACCTAACAGTGGTAATAGGAAGAGAGCAGAAAATGGGAATGTTTCCAGAATGTAAAGAGTTCTAGAATAAAATAGTTTCCAATTGCTTGGCACAATGAGTATGTTAAAGTGGAGGAGCCGGGAGGGTGGTGATGGGACAAACACAAGAATTGTAATCAAGAAATTTGAGGACACTTGGAGAAAGAGAATTAGAAAAGTTTCCAGAGGGAGAGATCATATTAAATACTTTAGGTGAAGGGGAGATCACACAGAGGTTTGAGAATTAAAGTTCCTATTTTATATTTTTCTGTGTCAACATCAGACTGGAAGATAATAGAGCAAAGCTTTTGCAATAAGAGGAAATTTATTTTCCGCTAAACTTACAAATGTGAGGATAAAATAAAACATATTTCACTTCACATATCTTTTTTAGAAAGGTAATGGTTGATAATAATTCAAGGAAAAGGAAGAATTAGAACATGGTGAGGATGGAGGTGACGGGAAGTTTCTGAGTGTGGCAGGCCTAAACCAACTCAGATTAAAAGAGGGAAAGAGAAAAAGACTGAAGGAGGAAGGTCTCCAGTAACAATACAGAAATTACGGCTTACCTGCTCATTTGATTGTGCGAAAATCATCAAATGGGAAGGGTTTTATATCACATTGAAGAGTTTGAGAAGGTTTGGTTGAGAGGTTTAAATAAAACTTAAAATAGGGCAGTTATTACTTCACAAAACTTGAATGGGAAAAGAAGTGTTTAGGTGAATTGTAAGTGAGGATTGACTGTGGAAACATCATGTTCTTCTGCTGCCTCCCTAAACCCCCAAATCGATGCTCACTGTAGTTACTTGGGAACTGTGGCAGATGGAAGCTTCATATCTGTGCGCACACACACAGTCATGGCAGGAATAGAGAAGCATCAAATTGTGCGTTGTGCTCTAAATTTCCATTTGGAAGTGACACACATGCTTTTCATTTTTTGACAGAAGCAAGTCACATCTCACTTTAGGGCTAAAGGGGTGCAGCTGGGAAATATATTCCTACCTTCAAGGAGAACTGGAATGTTTATGAATGACTGGTCATTACTGTTCTTGGCTTAACAGTGAGGAATCTTAAACTGTATCGTAAGGATAAGGAGAGGGGGAATAGGTAGTAGAGGTGGCCAAATTCATAGTTATCACAAGAGACAACTGTTTAAAATTGATAATTGAAGGAGTAGCAATATAAATATGTTAAAAACACATTGGTAAATACCAAAGAAAGCAGCTGAAAGAGTTAATTGTTTTGCCTCTGAAGTAGAACTCAGATGAGATGTATTGGGTAGGGACTGTAGTTTTTTCATTATAAGCTTTTTTTTTTTTTTTTTGGTGGGGAATTGAATTCTGGGGCACTCAACCACTGAGCCACATCCCCAGCCCTATTTTGTATTTTATTTAGACACAGGGTCTCACTGAGTTGCTGAGTGCCTTGCTAAGTTGCTGAGGCTTGCTTTGAACTTGCAGTCCTCCTGTCTAAGCTCCCAAACCGCTGGAATTACAGGCCTGCGCCACTGTACCTGGCCAATATAAGCTTTTGAATACTACTTTTTGTTTTTGTTTTTTGGTGCTGGAGATTTGAACCCAGAGCCTTGTGCCTGGTAGATCAGAGATTTCTTTTATTATGATAAATAAAAGAAGTTGTCTAATAATAACCCCAATTGCAAGGTGGTTGTTAGATTAAATTGGGTAGATATAGACATGTAGCTAGCAACTTATAAAAAGCCTGAACCATTGTTTATGAGTTGTTGTTGGATCTCTTTTCCCTTTTGGATTATGATGAGCTTCTTCCCTGATCTCAGTGAGTCTGATGGGCCTTAGTATAGCATCCCCTCACTGTGTGGGATGATTGGTAGAGCATATGTTGTTTTCTATAGAAAGTGCAGAAACCTCCCACATGTGAGGGGGTTTTTGTTTGGTGGTACTGGTGATTGAACACAGGGGTACTCTGCTACCAAGCTACATCGCTGCCCATTATATTTTGTTTTTAGACAGGGTCTAAATTGCTGAGACCTCAAACTTGCCATGGTCCTTCCTTAGCCTCTTGAGGAGCTTGGTTAAAGGCATGTATTTATGCCTGGCCCACCTGAGTGTTTTTTTTTTTAATACCAGGAATTGAACCCAGGGGTGCTTATTAACCACTGAGCCACATCCCTAGCCCCACTTTAATTTTTTTTTTTAAATAACTTTTGAGGCAGGGTTTTGCTAAGTTGTTTAGGGCCTTGCTAAATTGCTGAGGCTATCCTTGAACTTGGGATTCTCCTGCCTCAGTCTCCCGAGTTGCTGGGATTACAAATGTGTGCCACCACACCCAGCCACATATGAGTTTTTGATCATCAGGAGTTCAAGTGCCATTCAGAGAGGTTTGAGTAACTTTCTGGGATTATGAGAAACACATGTCAGTTATTTTTGGACTCCAATAGCAGATATATGCAAGTCAAAATGAAACTTGTATTTGATATGTTTTTCTTCTTAGGACAGACCAGAGATTTGTTTTATGAAGGGTGCTTATGAGCAGGTGATTAAATACTGTACTACGTACCTCAGCAAAGGGCAGACCTTGACTCTCACCCAGCAGCAGAGAGATATGTACCAACAAGAGAAGGCACGGATGGGTTCAGCTGGTCTCAGAGGTAAGCTATTTTGACCCTGGGGTGGAAAGTTATAGCCTTCTTTTAATTGCATTTGAATTCATATTTCACATCTGAGCTGTTCAGTTGATTCCAGGCATTGTCCAACTCTGTTCCTTACCATTTCTGAGGTGCTTTATTTAAGTTGGTTAACTGGACCCTAAAAGATGGAAAGTCAAGAATGCAGCAAAATATGAAATTTCTGTTTCTTACAGACCTGTAGTAGTCTTTGAGTGGGTGATAGAAATTTTATTTTGAATAATTTTGATCTTGTGAGAAGGTCAAGGTAAAATAATGTTATCCTTTTATTATTTTGTCACTTTGTCTTTATTGTTAATAGAATTAAAATACTTTAGTATAAATGGAAGTCTTCGGCCTCTAATTTGTCTTTTAAGGTGAATGCTAACTTAATCCTCATCTGCTGTCTTTGTTCTCTTGCTATTCACCAGGGAGTTGAAGTAGTGCCCAGATCCTGTATATTTCCCTGTCCCCCATATATATATCTCCCTCCTGAATGTGACAGGGTGAGGGTGGGGTTCTGCTTTGCACCTTATATCAGGCCTCTTCTTTTGAAATATAGTGTAGGATTCATTGGGGAGGGGTATATACCCGATTGTTACCATTCAAATAGTCATCTGACTTGTGCAGAATATAAAAGAAATTGGAAGAGTTAACTTCCTTGTACAATTTTAATGAAATGTAAGTCAAATACTACAGTTACTCAGAGAAAGGAAAACAAGTTATGTGAAAATGTTCTTATTTGTGGTTCACTTAAGTGAAGGCATTCTTTGGCTTTAAAACATTTGGAGAGATTCATAGGACTTCTGTTTTTACAATAAGCTTATAAAACATTTAGAAAGGTATTCTGTGGGTCAGAGTGTGCACCTGCAGCATGCTGTCATGCTTTGTTCCCTGGCTTCTGCACCAGCCCTTAGGCTGCGGAGCCAGGGTTACTCCTTGTGTCCTCCTTATCGCTTGTTGCATCTTACCTAGGTTATGGACTGTATTGTGATCATTTCAGAACCTCACACTCTGTGTCAGGGAAAGAGGAAGTAGAGCTTTCTGGCTGAAAAACTGTTGTGCAGATGGATCTACTTTTATATGAAAAAAAATGTTTTTAACGAAAAATAACTTTTTCTTCACCTTTCCCTTCCATAATGTAAAAGGCTTTGATGGCAGATCCTTGAGTTTCAAGTGTTTTTTTTTTTTTTTTCCTACAGTCTTGAATCCTAAATATGCTGCTAGATCTCTGCCTCAACCCTCAAGCTTTCAGAATCCTTGAGGCCACAGCAGATTTTTCTCCCAGCATTAGTTCTGGGGCAGGAGGAACCTCTTGTCTGGTTGAACTAGGTCAGACCTAAGAGTAGTGAGATGAGACCCAAGAATTTTTTAAAAAATATATTTAATTTAACAAGACAGTGTGCAATACTGCTGAATATTCTGGGGAAGTGGGCACAGGAGTGTTCCACACATACTAAATGTGCTCCCTTCTGAACAGTGAACAGACCAAAACTGTTTAATGGCCCTAGCCACAGAAAACTCAGAGTCTCTGACTTAAGGTTATATTTCTTTGCCTCCTTTGTGCCTATTTCAGCTTCCTACCAAAAGCTAGTCTGAGAGAATGGAACTGTTAGGATTTGATCCAGAATTGTAATTGTTAGATCAAGGGGTAGCTTAGGTGACTTGAGGATCACTGCAGGGAAGCCTACATAGCCAAGAAAGGTCTTTGTTGCTAAAGCTTGTGTATCAAGAGGCAACAGTAACATCTCTGAGGGATTCCTGGGAAGGTGGATGGGAGGGTGGGAGGTGGGGTATTGCTCCTTGGGTTACCTCTTCCTTCTGGGGCTTAGGTTACCTCTTCCTTCTGGCTCTTTTTAAATCCCCTTTGGTAAAATGCAATTAATTTTTTAGAAAAGTGTGAGGAGCACAAAATGCAAACCTGTTTTCTTACCTCTTGATCTTCTGTGTCTTCACCTTCAGTTTGTTGGGTTTGTTTCCACCTCTTAATAAAACATTGAAACTTAAAACAAGAAAAAGGGGTAAGAGTTTTGTCACTCTTAAGAAAGCTTACAGCAAGAGAGTTTCAAGGTTGGTGTGAATTTCGAGAATTCAAAGTGATCTTAAAGTTATGTATCTGTTTCTGTTTCCCTTAATTTTTGGAATAAAAGTTTTTATACTTTTTTATTTTGACTAACTTTTTTGTCTGAAGGATTATGAAGGTTTGTGTATGTGCAGTTTTGTGTTAAAACATTGTGAAGAAGACTAGAGTTATTAGAGGGAAAACATTCTATTCCTGCCTGGTATCTTTTCTTCATCTCTTTGTGCTCTACTTCCCTTCAATCCCTGAGACTGCCATAATATAAGAACAGAAAATATTGTAAATTTCTATTGAAATGTACTTATGTTGCGTCTTATAAAACTTTTCTTAAAATGCTTGTGGACTTAAATTTTGAAATTAGGCTATGTGTTGTTTTATGTGACAGGCATTCCACATGAAAAATGTTTAGCTACCCTTGGCTAAAGAGTAGCATTAGATCTTCATTTATGCTAAAGATGTGAAAAAGTAATAAATACAGGGTACTAGGCTTTCCACCAGCTTCACCCCTTCATTGGGAGAACTCCAAGTTTATTTCCCTTCCCTAGGAATTGCAGATGTACAAATTGATATTTGCTGTCCCCTTCTTTTGTTATCTGCTTCTATACTAGCATCAGGTATCGACTGTACAGCAACTCATTCTCTTCAGAGTGAAAGCCTTTGGGGTTAGGGTTAGGGGCCCACATCTGTATGAATAATTATATTGGAAAAATACAAGTTACTTGCCTTTGATCTTGATTTTCTAGTCCTCCATACCTTCTGCTTGATTAAAAGTAGATACTTTTCATCTCTGTGAGACTTTTCAGTCTAATAATATCCCAGACACAAGCACATGCCTCTGATCTATCAGGGTAGTTAGCAGAGGTTCCAGAATTTTGAGAGTAAGCTAAATGAAGAGTATTTGTACTCTATCTCAAATGCTCAGTGATGACAGAGAAACTAACTTAAAGTAATGATATGATGGTGTTATTTAAATACTCTTAGAGAACCACAGTTAGAAATAAGAAAGACAGACTACTATTCTGCAAAGACCATATTACTGGTCTTATGATAACTTTGTAGATTAACTTTACCATTCAGGGTTTGTCATACATGCAGTTGTTACAGGCTGTGTGTAATTAATTAATACAAACTTTTTCAGACTTTTGAATTTTTCTGGAGGTCTGTGAGATGTAAAGATGAAGATACATTAGTAGCCACCATCAAAGGTGTCTGTTTAAAACTGACTTTAAAGCTTGACAAACCCATATATTCTCTAAATAATGAATTGTATCTTCTAAAGAGGCAGTAGTTTCTATGGAAAGTAGTTGCATGTGGTTATCTGCAAAAACATTCTTCATTCTCCTTCATTTGCCTTCTCTGCTTAACAGTTCAGTAATTTATTTCTCTTAATTTTTGATAGCTTTCTAAAGAATCATTAAACTATAATGTCTTGGTGTGTAAAATTTTTATTTTTAAAAATGATATATCTACAGATGACATTATAATCTTAAGTGAGTTATTGTCAATTAAATTCTAATGTTTATGTGTTTTCTTTTTTGGATTTTATTATTATTTCTTAAGTTCTTGCTTTGGCCTCTGGTCCTGAACTGGGACAGCTGACATTTCTTGGCTTGGTGGGAATCATCGACCCTCCTAGAACTGGTGTGAAAGAAGCTGTTACAACACTCATTGCCTCAGGAGTATCGATAAAAATGATTACTGGAGATTCACAGGAGACTGCAGTTGCAATTGGTATAACTAGGCTGCTTCATTTCATTTTTGATAGTTTTTCTTAAAATACTGTGGTGTATTAGATGTACAGTGTACTTTAGATGTACAGTGTGTTTACATAATATTCAAATTTAAAGTTGACTTACTTTTTTGCTCTTTTATATATATATATATATATATATATATATAAAATTGTAGGCAAAAATTGATGATAGCTTGAAAAGTGATACATTATTGAACACATATAACTGAACCAGGTGTGGTGGCACACACCTGTAATACCAGCTATTTTGGAGGCAGAAAGAGGAAGGTCACAAGTTGGGGCCAGCCTGAGCAAGTTGGCAAGACCCTTTTTCAGCATAAAATTTTATGAAAGGCTGGTGATGTAGCTTAGTGTAGAGTGCTTGCCTAATATGCTTGAAGCCTGGCTTGTTTAATCCCCAATGTTGTCCCCCCACTTAAAAAAAAAAAAGTGTGTGTGTGTGTCTGTGTGTGTGAGTGCACGCGTGTATATACATATAAAACTAAATTGTGAAATCACGTGTATTTTATTCACATACAGGTATTTGATTATTTTTAACTTTGTAATCCAATTTGCTGGTAACAGTACCAGCTTATCCTAAGTATAATTTTCAAAGCAGGCTTATGCATAAGTAGGAAGAAACTAGCATGTATTTGTTTTCATTATGTATACATAAACACACACACATAAATATATCAAATTTAAATGTTATTTAAGATTTTCTTAAGAAATGCAAGGGAAAAAAATGTAGTAATATGAAAGCTTAACTCCCCAGAGCCTATAAACTATAATACTGATAAATTTAACAATTTGCTAAATTCCATTAAAACTGATTTTTATTAATATTGTGGGGTAGGAGTTCCAAACTGTGTGTTATGTAAGAGATATCACTAGAAACAGAATATTATTGGAAGAAAACTTTTCCACAGTTGTTTTCCTGTGCATGTAATGGTTACCTCAAATACACTATTATTGTGCCTGATAATGCATTCTGATATTGGTTAGAATTCAGCTGCTGAGCAGAACCCTATTGTCCTAGTTCATTCTGAGGGTTTCCTAGCTTAGACAGTGAACATTTTTTTAATTCTTGTATGTAAGTAAAAATAAAATAGACACCTACCTCAGACTTACTGTATATTCAGATAGGATTTTCTCTCCAATAGTTTGTCTTGTTATTCCTTGATATAAGTGCATTTTACACTTAAAAAGAAAGGGTGAAAAATCATATTAAGTAAGCATAGTGTTGACTAATCCGTCAAACAGAAACAATTTGGTTAATTATGTATTTTTCTCTTTTAACTTTAGCGAGTCGTCTGGGATTGTATTCTAAAACTTCTCAGTCAGTCTCAGGAGAAGAAATTGATGCCATGGATGTCCAGCAGCTTTCACAAATTGTACCAAAGGTAGGCCTATCCTAAAGCCTTTTAGACTGAGAGGTCTTATTCTAAGTGTTAACCATTACCACTGTCTTAATGAAACTTTATTTATGGACAAGTGATACATGACCTACAAATTAGTTGGTTTGAATTCTGAGGAAAAAAATCTGATTGAAATAAATTTTATCATTGAATATTTATGACAATGTCATTATGAATATCATGTAAAATTATTAATTTGAGCAAGAACTGAGTTCCTCCTGAGGAAAATACTATGGAAATTAACAGTGCTTGCATTTATAAATCAGAGGATGAAAAAAGATCATTACTTTGTATTTCTTACCCTTTTGCTTTTATTTTAGTATGACCTCGCCTGTGTCTCGCGCAGGTGATGGAAATGGGGTTCCCCTCAGTGAAATGGGCTGGCTGAAAAATAAAAGCTAGGAAAACTAGAAGGACGAGAAAACCACAGGACACAGAAAGTAGTTTCAAAAGTGGTGGGGGGTGTGGCGGTTGCACAGGACTGGCAAGGCCATCAGACTGATCGAGATTCTGTACTCTGGCAGAATTAGGGACTCCCCCCTTGCTTTATTTATATCAAGGGACATCAAAGGCAGGGATAAGGTTTCAAGGGCAGAGTCTTGCTTCATGGTGTCTTGCAGTCCTCAGTTTGATTGACATCTTGGCAGGTCACATTTATCTCAGGTGCTGTGTGGGATCTCTAATAGAGCTTCAGGGGGAAGTTTACCTGCATCAGACGATCAGTCCCTTTGGGGGTGCCAAGGGAGGTTCCCAATGCCAGATTTATCCCCTCATTAGGCTACTATGCTCAACATAATCCACATACCCACATACAGCCCACGGACAGCTTGTGACAGTATGTGTGTGTGTGTGTGTGTGAGAGAGAGAGAGAGAGAGAGAGTGTGTGTGTGTGTGTGTATTTTTATGTGGTGCTGAGGATGGAACCCAGTGCCTAACGTGTGTGAGGCAAGCACTCTGCCACTGAGCCACAACCCCAGTCCAGAGTATATTTTTTAAAAACAAAATCAAGGTATTTTACATACAGTAAAATTTGCCTTTTTACAAAATATGTTTTTCTGATCTTTATGATAAATGCATTCAGTCTTGTAACCATGACCACAGGCAGGCTGTACAATAGTTTCATCAATCCGCCCAATTCTCTTATGTCTTTCTGTAGTCAAGTGCTTCCCCTACTCCTAGCAATTGACAGTCACTAATTTGTTTCTTTTCCAGAATGTTCGAAAAATTGAATTATGATATGAGGCTTTGGAATCTGCTTCTTTCACATAGCATAGTACCTTTGAGATTTACTATGTTTGGAAATTTAAAATTATTAAAATATAATAATTTATTATTATTGACTACAATAAAAAACAGTGAATTTTTTATTAGCAGGACTCTTCCCACACCCACTTTTCTTCCCAATTTCATCTTGCATTCATGTGACTCTTTTAACCAACATGCTTTTGAACTTCTACTTTTGCAGCTGATCAGATTGAATAGCTTTTCTTTTATTAATGTTACACATAAAACAGAACTTTTGTTATAAATCATCGGCTTGTTGAGTATTTCCCACATTCTGAAATCATCTTAGTTCCTCATTCAAATATTTTTCAGCTTTACCTTTTCATCATTCTCTGGAACATTTTCCAAACTTTTCAACATGCTATGTTCTTTTGACCTAGAGCTAATTAAAAAACAATGTGCAGATGGTTTTGCTTGATTATATATTAAATATATCTGGAATTCTCAGTGTTTCTATTTGTGATTTCTTGGAGTATGTTCTATATTTTTCAGTGATAGAAGTTGTCATTCTCTCTGTTTTCAGATTTTGATATCAGTATTTTATATTTCCGATGAACTGTTAGCCAAGTCCCCATAGTATAATCCCAATTTGTGTATTGTAGTCACTATTATTCTCTTTTGCTAGACTGAGAAACAGACATAACAATCTAAACGATTATAAAAAAGGGAATTCATATATCTCCAAATTTAATCTAAGCTTGTGAGACAGTGCTGTATTTCAATTTCTAGTAATTTCTTGTGTGTTTTTATTTTGAATCGCAGGTCTTTTATTTAGTGTTTGTGTGTATCCATTGATTTTCAGTAGTTTATTCAACACGATTGACCTATTCATTCTAGGACTTACAGAACAAATGTTACTCTGGGTGGTTTTATGGCCACATGTAAAAAACTAGATGATCTTTCTACTTTGCATTGAGATATACTTTGTCTTCTAGTGGCTAGTCTTATTTTTTGATTCCATTAAAAGCTTTGAAATGTTGAAATCTTATAATCAACTAATAGTTGTAATGGATGCATGCCAAATAAATTTATTACTATATGAAATAAATATGGCTTGGTCCAACAAATGGTGGCTTGTCATTCTTGGTAACCCACAGTATCTATAAGGAAGTGATTTATAAGTTTAAAAAATTAATTATGGGGAACAAAGGCAAAATTTTGCTCTGTACAACCAGCATATTTAAAATTAGCGTATTTAAAATATTAAAATATTTTAATATTCTGTTTAGTCTGCAGCTTTTGTTAAAATCTTTTGTCACGTTTTAGTGCTGTGTGCTATACAATTAATTTCGTCAATAATTAAAACTTTCACTTAGAAGATTACTACTATTATACTTAGAGTATACATGTAGCTTAGTCTTATACCAAGAAGTTTCTAGACAGATTTTTGAACCTTTTTTTATTTATTTACTTATTTTTGAGGTACTGGAAATTGTACCCAGGGCCTAGAACATGCTAGGCAAACTGTCTACTACTGAGCTACTTCCCTAGCTCTTTCCATCTATTTTTTTAAAATTTTTTTTTTTTTTTTTAGTTGTAGATGGACACAATGCCTTTATTTTAATGTGGTGCTGAGGATTGAACCCAGTGCCTCACATGTGCTAGGCAAGCACTCTACCACTGAGCTACAACCCTAGCCCTCCATCTTTTTTATTTTGAGACAGGATCTTACTAAGTTGCGGAGGCTGGCCTTGAACTTGTGACCCTCCTGCCTTGGCCTCCTGAGTGGCTGGGAATATAGGCATATCCCACTCTACCCAACTGAATTTTATTTTCAAAGAAAGAATATTCTCCAAATATGGGTTATGAGGACCGATGAATAAACAGGAATGTGATGTTATAATTTAATGAATCTTTTTTATATTTTAGAAAATAATCTTTTGATTTTAGACTTTTATTGCCAAAGAGAAACTGTGAAGAGTTTTAAAGATGGTACTAAGATTTATTCTGTTGTTTATTCATTTATTTAATACTTATTTTTAGAACACATAATCTCTGCTTTTGTGGAGCTTAATAAATTCTAATATAAATGAAATTTTACACATATATGGGGGTAGTACTAAAGAGCACCATTGTAAGCAGGCAAGAAAGGAATAGAGGTAGGAGAGGAAGTTGGAAATTTTAAGAGCATGACTGGGGAAAGCCTCACTGAGAGGGTACTGTTTGATGAAAGGGCAGCCCATGTAAGGTCTGAGGAAAGAATATTGCAGATAGAAGGAACAGGCCAGAGGCCTTGAAGTGAGTGTGCCAGGTACATGTGAGAAGCAATGAGGAGGCCAGTGTTATAGTTCAGGCCAGCAAAGATTAATGATGGAAGACGAATGGGATGAGCTGTGTATTTCATGCAAGACTTGCAGATAAGACCATAGTGGCCTTTGTACAGAGCAGGATGAGAAGTGATTGGAGGGAGCAAAGGAGATAGTTACCTGACTTTTGTTTTAACACTTTCACTGTAGTCATTATGTTAAGAACAAATACCAGGAAGAGAGAGCAGAAATAAGAAAATCAATTCAGAGGTATTGGCCCATCGAGTTGACAATGGATTTGGAGTAAGGTGGTTGAATTCTGGATACATTTGGCATGTGAGAAAAGGAGACGAATTAAGGACGCCTCCTCAAATTCAGAGCTTTAACAATTTCAAGGATGTAATTACCATTAACAGAGGATAGGAGGGAGCAAGATTTGTAGGAAATAACAGGTGTTCAATTTTGGATATGTTTGAAATGAGACATTCAAGAAGAAATGTGGAATAAATAGGTGGATTAGTTTTGTCAGTCTGGATTTCAGAAGAGATGTCAAGGATGGAAATAAAATGCACATAGATAAAATTTGAAGCAGTAAGACTGGATGGGCTCCCTTATTGAGTAGGGGTTTCTTAGACCTCATCAAAAGGAAAGACTGAGAAATTAACTCCTTATGTGTTTCAACATTTAGACCAGAAAAGCCAGGAGTCTGTATAAGAGGAACAGCCAGAAAGGCAAGAGGAAGACCAAGTGTTTGGAAGCAGTGAGTGATCAGCTTTGTAAGGATGCTGCTGAGAGGTTAAGTTAGTTGAGAAATGACCATTGGTGTTAGCAATATGGTGTGGGTGAGTGGTCTTTGGTAGTCTTGAATGATGGTTTCAGTGCAGTGGTGGTGTGATGACCTGATTGACATGGAATTAGGAGATAATGGTAGACAGGTAACTTCCTAAGGAGTTTTGCTCCAGAAATTCTTCCTTCCTATGTCAGTTTTTCCTTCATTGCTGCATCTTTACCCTCAGTATCTAAGCTTATTGTTTTTATTTTCATTGGAAAAAAAAAAGAAAAAGAAAAGAGAAATGTAGAGACAGCAGGAATAAATGGGAAAGGACAGGATGTGGGTCGTCCCCCTTTTTATAATGGAAGGGTTAATAACATGCTTGTATACTGATGAGAAAGATTCAGCAGTGAGGGGGGAAAATGGTCCTAAATAGGTAAGAAAGGACTGGTCCTAGAAGTAGATTCAGTTTATCTTTCATAAAACATGAGAAGGATAGTGCCTGGACAGATACTGGCTAGTGGGAATTGTGCAAATTTTCTTCTGACTTTGTTTTCTCTTAAGTAGGAAGTAAGGTTATCTGTTGAGCATAAGACTGTAGATTGGAGGAATGAAGAGAGAGAACTAATAGAACTAATCTTCTACGAGCTTATGGTATATTTTGTGGGTATTGGAATTACCATAACTTATAAATATTGAAGATAGCGACAGTGAGGCTGAAGTTAAGATCCTTGTGAAACAAGAGGTTGTGTGCTCAGGAACAGTGAATGCCTGCAGTTAGTTGGAAGTATAAACTTCTGTGACATTTAAAACTGCGGTGTTTGTGAAGGGAGAGTGAAGGACATGCACCCAGTCTAAGCTGCCCTGGTGGTAGTATTTGAGAGTGCTGTAAGGGATGGCAGTGTTGTGAAAAACCTAGGCTAAAGCAAAGTGGCAGAGTTGAGATACAGATCTTGTTGGTTGACTGACTTTGGGGCACAGTGAAAGGGTTTCAGGAAACTGGGAAAAGGGGTCAGAAAAGAAGGGATTAAATATATAGTTTGGAAAGAGAAAATCATAGAGCGGTTTTGGATGTATACTGGAAGAGGATGATTATCCTAAATAAAAAAGAGCATGCAATGAAAGTAGCAAAGGTAAAGACTGTTTTAGTTGTACACTGGTGTATCATGAGCAAACAGAGAAGAATTTTTTTGTTTCCTTGTCTGCAACATTCTAAGAATAAGGCTATTTTCATTATTTAGACCTAGTGTTGTAAATTGAATGGCTTGTTTTGATTGTATGTTTTCCATGGTACCTTGTAAGGGTTGAAATGACTGTCAAATGAATGTCTTGACAAATATATGGCACATTAAGTTTGATCTCTGTGGCAGATTAAGCACAGCTTAAATTAATGAGTAAAAAAGTCACCATTAGTTGTAAATGCATGAGTTATTCTAATATCTTCTTAAAAGTGAAGATTTTTAATGCATCTTATATTTTATCAGGTTGCAGTATTTTACAGAGCTAGCCCAAGACACAAGATGAAAATTATCAAGGTAGGTGTCTAAAAATCAGATTGCTTAATTTCTCTATATAAAATGCTGCTACTTTGTTTTTTGTTATATTTGCATTACAAGGAGTATTGATAGAGCCTCAAAGTCGGAAGTATTGTAAAGCAAAACAGTCATCGCTTTCAAGAGCTTGATGTGGAAACACAAAGAATTTTACTGGGAAGATGTGGAAGAAAACTCTATGAAATATTTGCAAATACGGCCATCTTTACACAGTTAAATAGTGTAGCAGTATATTCTGACAGAGGTCCATAGCCAAATCATCCCAATGTGAGTGATGATAATTAGTTAAAAACTGAATAAATATAAGAAAAAAGCATTATAAGAGTGTGAACAGTATTTAAAATGCTATGGTTACTTAGATTAAACCATCAAATGTAGCCATGCATTGCTTAATAATAGGGCTATGGCTATGTTCTAGAAATGTATTATTAAAATGAATCCCCCCCACTGTTTGAATATCATGAGTATAATTAAACTTAGATGGTGTAGGCCAGAGCATGGCTTTTTTTTTTTTTTTTTGATACCATGGATTGAACCTAGGGTCACTTAACCACTGAGGCACATTCCAGCTCTTTTTTTTTGTATTTTATTTAGAGACAGGGTCTTGCTGATTTGCTTAGGGTCTCTCTAAGTTGCTGAGGCTGGCTTTGAACTTGCAATCTTTGTGTCTCAGCCTCCTGAGCTGCTGAGATTACAGGAGTGCACCACCCTGCCAGGCTCAGCATGTCCTCTTAATGCAGTCAAGAGATGTGTTAAACACAGGGGTGTGACACACCAAACTTGTTTTTTTTTTTTTTTTTTTTTTTTTTTTTAAGTAGTAGTATCCTCTAAAATAGTGATTGAAAGTATAGTAAATGTATAAACCAGTCATTTATTGTTATTATCAGGTATAGTGTTGTAAATTATATGCTGTATTTTTTTTATAACTGTCAGCACAGGTTTATATTAGCTTTACCATAAACATGAATAATGTGTTGTGCGACAATATTATGAGGACTTAGATGCTAATAATCATTACAAGTTCTTCAGCTCCATCCACTATGGTATATGTGAATATTATGTAGCACATTTCTGTATATAAAAGTAACTGTCAGTATTCAATGGGCTTAATTTATTAATGATGATAGACAGCTATTGTATATAGTTTTTCAGTTTTAGCACTTTTGACATTTGGACTAGATAATTCTTGGTTGTGAGGGGCTGTTTTGTGTATTGTAGAATGTTTCACAGCATTCTCAGCTGCTACTGGCTAGGTGCTGGTGGCATCCCCCAAACCAAGACAATCAAAAATACCTTCAAATATTGTTAGATTTCCTTGAGGAGACAAAATTGTCTCTTGCTGAGAATCATATATAGTTCATCTACTTAGATATAGTTCTCACAAATGGAAATATTAATAACAACTTTTCCTAAGCTTTATTCTATTAAAAACTCCACATATTTAAGCTTATTGAAAAATGGATTGATTGGATTATTTCTGTAAAAGAATAGTTGAGAGTGCTTGTTTAGCCCATTATTGTATGGAAACAACTTTATCATCAGGATTCTTCCCTCCACCCTGTTCCTGTTCCTCTTTAGTCTCTACAGAAGAATGGGTCGGTTGTGGCCATGACAGGGGATGGAGTAAATGATGCAGTTGCTCTGAAGGCTGCAGATATTGGAGTTGCAATGGGCCAGACTGGGACAGATGTTTGCAAAGAGGCAGCCGATATGATCCTGGTGGATGATGATTTCCAAACCATAATGTAAGCTTCGTTTCAGTGAATGCATATAAGAGAATCTTCTTCTATCCTTTTCTACATCTTTTCCACGATAATTCAACTGGAAAAGAATTAGTATTTAAACATTGACCAAGTTTCTAATTTCTAGACCAAATCATGTTTCTAGATAAATGTTTTCTGGCCTAATGTATAGTTCTAGAGAAAATGATTTGTATGGATTAAACAGACATAATAGATGGTTAGTCCTTATCTTTTAAGAAAGTGAGTGCCAGTGAAGTGTCACATTGTTCTGGGCACTAAAAACAATGGTACAATAGTGAACCTTCATTAGGGGCCTTTATTTTAGTTAAATTCAGGTTCTTAGAAATGTGCATATACATGACCTTACAGTAAGTATTAAAAATTATAAAATTCACACCCATACTTATTTCCTTATAACAGTAGTTGTTCATGTTGTTCTCATTTCATGACATAATTTGTTGAATTTGAATAGTTTTGTTTCATCCATAGTTTCCAATTGATTTAAGACTGCAGTTTAATACCCTGTGGAGTCAGTTTCACAGTGGTTAGGTGGAGATCATGTTAATCTCAACCTCTTAGATGACCGAACCTTGCTCATTGCAGTGTCAAATTATAAGTCCCTGTCCCAGGATGCTTTATTACCCAATAGTATCCTAAAGTGATGTACTTGAGAATGGGAGTTCAGAACTCAGAGCATTGCCAATCTCTTATAAAGATTTTTTTTTTTTCCTCTCTCCCTGCTTAGAGTTATATAAAAATCTGGGAAGAAAGGAGTTGTTTTAAAAAAAATACCTATTTTCCTGGATTGAGCCAAATGAAAGAATTTATGAGTTTTTGTAAATTAATGTTCTTTAATTCCTCTGTAGTGTGTAGCATATATACTTGTGTGTAGGAACAACAGATAGCTTAAATTCCATAATTCTTACATAGCACATTGATGTTTAATTCCTGATATATATTAATAAGAAAAATGAGCTTAGAGACATAGAGATGATTATCATTTTAGTATTTTAAATGTATAGCATTATGTGTAGAGGCAGTTTATTATTTTAATGTTCAAATGTCTTTAATAAGATTTATTAAAATTAATAAGAAATATAATGAAGTCAGCTTAGATAGATCTCAGCATATTTGATTTTAGTTCATTGGTAAAATAAATGTTTCCATATTCTAATCTTAATTATGTGAAGAAAATATTAGATTTTTTGTCTTTTATTTATTTGTTTTTGGTAATAGAGATTGAACACAGGGGTATTTTACCACTGAGTTACATCTTCAGCCCTTTTTGTTTTGAGACGGGTCTTGCTAAATTGCTTAGGGCATCATTAAGTTGCTGAGACTGGTCTGGAACTTGGGATCCTTGACTCCCAAGTTGTTTGGATTGCAGGTGTGTGCCACCATGCCTGGCTTAATAATTTATTTTTTAAATTGATTCTTTTAAATTTAAAAATTGATATTTTTAAATTGATATTTTTTAAATTGTAGTAGGTATTGAAAATCATTTAGAGATGACTTAAAAGCATGCAAGAGAATATGTAAACATATGCAAATACTGTGAAATTTTATATAGGGAATGGGAATTTTTATATATTAGTTGGAAATTTATTCTCAAAATAGCTTCACAGTCTTTTAGTACAGATGTAGCTTTATTTTTATATGAAGTTTTTCATTTTATCTTTACTTTTAAAATTTCAGGTCTGCAATTGAAGAGGGTAAAGGAATTTATAACAACATAAAAAATTTTGTTAGATTTCAACTGAGCACGTAAGTTTGCAAGATATTTGTAACCATGGGTCTTCTAGATAAATTATAGGAAAGTAGAACATACCTAGAAACTTCTGTGTATTTCTGCAGGGTTTTTGAAAGTAAGTTTTCTAAAGAGAAAATTAACTATACAGAAATGGCATGCTAAGTGGACTCTAAATATGATAATTAAATGTTTCTGTCATCATCAAAATATTTTGTTAACCCATTTTATCTGCAGTTTCCACATTTGTGGATTCAAGTATGTATAGAAAATATTTGGAAAAAAAATTCTGTACTGAAAATCTATAGACTTTCCTCTTTGTTTTTATACTGGAAATAATACAGTACAACAAAAATTTATATAGCATTACATTGTAGTAGGTATTGAAAATCATCTAGAGATGACTTAAAGCATGCAAGAGAATATGTAAACCTATATGCAAATACTTTGAAATTTTATATAGGGAATGGGAATTTGGTATTTCAGGGATTTCTAGAAACAACCCTCCATGGATACTGAGGAATTTGTTTAATAACTTCTGAAATATAAGGAGTGGAATGGGTCATATCTCAGTGTTTCTTCTTAGGGTTTTTTTTTTTTTTTTTTTTTAAATAGTAGTGGTTTTCTGTAGCCAAAAAGAAAACAGTTGAATATTGGTGAAACTGTTACATAGATTTTAAAAATTTCCCCTCTTTGCTGTTGTTAAACATATTTTTCTAAATAATGTTAGATTTTAAAAGTTCACATGAATGAAGCATAGGTTACTTCTTTTAAAATTATAGTAGTAACATAAGCTTTTTGAATGGTAGAAAATAAATATTACCACAAATTCAATAGGAAATTTACTCTGCTGACAGATTAAATGACTCTCTTTTTCAACAGGAGTATAGCAGCATTAACTTTAATCTCATTGGCTACATTAATGAACTTTCCTAATCCTCTCAATGCAATGCAGATTTTGTGGATCAATATTATTATGGATGGACCCCCAGCTCAGAGGTAAGGTTTTTCGTGCTTGAACTAGAAAGATATGGAAACTGTGATGCCCCGATGTAAAATTTTATTATGAATAATGTTGGAAATTTGCAATAGCATATAAATTGTGTGATATGTGCATATTATTTATTCTCTTTGAATGTTTATTCATGCAGTATGGATCTGAAGCTTTATGCTATGTCACACATATACTTTGGTTGAAAACATATCAGAGAATAGATGCAGTCCCTGTCCTGTAGTAAGCTTTTTTATTGCTAAGAATGGAATGGAATGGAAAAGCGTCTGAGTTCGGCATCATTACCTAGGTTCTGTGTCAATACTAGAAACTTGGAAAGTATTGAAGAATTTGAGTATCTATTTTATTTTATAATAATGGGGTAGTGGAGTGATACGTATCATTAGCCATTGCAATCTATCATCCTAGTCAAAACTCCATTTATGAAAGATATTGCAAAGCTCTCTTGGTAGGTCATACATTTGAAATAAATAAATTTACATGTAAATAAAATTGTGCAGTTTTTTGAAAGCCGATTGTCATTTGTCTATCAAACTATACCAGATATGTAAGTGTAAAAGAGGAGAGAAATAGTGATAAAATCAATGATTGAGTTTTGTTTTTGAGAGGGGGTTGTTATGTTGATCTTGCTATCCATAAACGCTTGGGCTCAAGGAATCCTCACGTCAGGCCCGCCTTACATGGGACTATAGGTGTTTACTGGTACAACTAGCAGTGGTTATTTTTGTCTAGATAATAATTTTTTATTTTTCTTTTTAAAAAAATATTTATTTATTTTTAGTTGTTGTTGGGTACAATACCTTTATTTATTCATTTTTATGTGGTGCTAAAAATCGAACCCAGGGCCTCACACATGATAGGTGAGTGCTGTATCGCTGACCCACAATCCCAGCCCCTAAGTTTTTCTTAAGATTCAACATTTTGTTTTTGTAAGAAGGCATTTAGATTTCTGTATAATTAAATTTAGTTAGTTTTAAAAGTACAAATTGAGGCCTTAACACTTAAAGTAATTCATTTTTCTGTTTGCTTTTAAGTCTTGGAGTAGAACCAGTGGATAAAGATGTCATTCGTAAACCTCCTCGCAACTGGAAGGACAGCATTTTGACTAAAAATTTGATACTTAAAATACTTGTTTCATCAGTAATTATTGTTTGTGGGACTTTATTTGTCTTCTGGCGTGAGGTATATTCACTGGATAAGTAGCTATATTATGCATTTTGTATGATAGGATTCTTAGTTATTTTGGTGTGTTATGTAGAAAGCTGGTGAGTTAAGAGACCTTTTTGAAAAAGTATGACAAAAGCATTTTAAGATTTGATTTAATTCTCTGGCTTAATAAAATTGTTGGCTTAGGACTTGAAATCATTTAAATTTGCAGAGCCATATGACACAATAAAAGTTAATACATGTAAATTTGAGCAGTAAAAAATCTGAGCCTTTGATAGCTACTTTATTGTAATTAAATAATAAATGTTTTAATACTCAGTATATAGTTCATGAAAAGATTTTTTTTTACTTTTAATTATCTAGACTATAATCGTTCACTGGCTATTGGAAATTTAAGTAACTTGGATGTTTCACATCTTAGACTAAAGCTACTTATCATAATGGAAGGAAAATATTAATGTTTTGAAAGCATATATGGTCATTTGATTTAGCATTGAGAGTCATTTTGTTTTTTTCCTCTTGACAGCTGCGAGACAATGTTATCACACCTCGAGACACAACAATGACGTTCACATGCTTTGTGTTTTTTGACATGTTTAATGCACTAAGTTCCAGATCTCAGGTATGCGTCATTGATCTTAGCTGATTGGCCCAACTGAGTAGAGCTTCTTTTCTTACTGAGTGAGGCAAGGAGTATGGGCTTTTAGCTTTGCTTGGTTTTGTAGCCACAGATTACAGCCCCAGATACAGCCTTCTTACTAACTTGTGCCATTGGTGAACAATAAGGTTGAAGCATTTGGGGAACTAAGCCTTACCTTTAACTCAAAGATCAAAGCAAATCACAGATGTGTGTCTTTCTTCCTTTCTCTTATAAGTTGTAGCTATAGATAGATTCAGGTTAACATTATCTCAACATAGGACAAACCTCATAGACTCTGCTAAAATGATATGTCTCATATATGCAGTAAGGACAAGAACAATTTGATTGCCTCACTCTGTCAGTGAGTCTAAGTTTAGCATATTTAATTTTGCTTTCCTTTACAAGTCTTACAGTAGGTGTGATTGCTGCTTTTTGGTCTTAAAGTGTTTTAATAGAATATAATAGGTTAGAACCTTAAGGATACTTTTTTAGAGCATATTGTTCTTGAGAACTAGTTCTATTTGAGGCATTGACTATTTGTTTTAACTTAAAGCACTTTATATATTCTTAACTGTAACTGTTACTATTTGCCATACTAGAACTTTGTAAGAATGGTGGATTATCACTAATTTTGAGACTGTTATGAATAAGCCTTAGTATTTGTGTTTTTGTTTTATGAAAGACAGTTTTACTTTTTCTATATATACATTACTAGGTCCATTCTTCAAGATTTTACATTATCTTCTGCAGTGAATGGATAGGAAAGACTTAGCAAAATATAAATTTTATTAGTGCTTTGGGATGCTGAAGTAAGTTTCCTTTCTTTTTATGGTCTCATTTATATAGTCTCACTCTTTTTAAGCAAGCCCTTTTTTGATAAATAAAAGTTTGCTTTAAAATTCACCTTTCTTCTCCCTGAATTATTCCAAAGTAATAGATAGAATTAAAAGATTTTTTTTGGTATTGGTAATATATAATTCAGAGGTAATAAATGATACTAATTATTAAAAATTGAAATTAAGTATGAAAATAAACAAATTATTTATATGAACAAAGAGTAATAACTGAACTCTCTGCTTTTCCAACAGACCAAATCTGTGTTTGAGATTGGACTCTGCAGTAATAAAATGTTTTGTTATGCAGTTCTTGGATCCATTATGGGACAATTACTAGTTATTTACTTCCCTCCACTTCAGAAGGTTTTTCAGACGGAGAGCCTGAGTATACTGGGTAAAAGATGTTATCTTTATATATTTTAGGTGAATTATATTTTACAATGTTTGTGCTAATAATTCTTTTAAGATAGTGAAATGTGAAAGATAACTTGACATGACCTGGAAAAAAGGAGTGCTTCTTTTTTCATTTGGGGAAGTTCAGGGGAGTTATTCTCCTAACTCTAGGCATAAATTTGCATTTTTTCCTTTTAATTTGTGGTAATGCAGATTAAACCCAGGGCTTTGAGCATTGCAGGCAAAAACTCTTACCATTGAGCTACATCCTTAGGCCTTATTTTATTTCGAGATAGAATCTTGCTTAGTTGCCCAGGCTAGCCTTGAACTTGTGATTCTTTTGCCTAAGCCTCCTGAGTCGCTGGGATTACAGGTGTGCACCACTGTGTCTGACCTGTTTTTTTCTTTTTTACAGATTATTAATTGTTATAAAATCATATTTAATGATTCGGAAATATAGCAAACTGAAACATATTATAAAGTAGTTAGCCAGGCACTGTGGTGTACTCCTATAATCCCAGCGGCTCTGGAGGCTTAGGCAGGAGGATCACAAGTTCAAAGCCAGCCTCAACAATCTAGTGAAGGCCCTAAGCAACTTAGTGAGACCCTGTCTCCAAGAAACAAAGGGGTGGGTGGGTGGAGTGGCTCAGGTTGTATCTCAGTAGTTAAGCAAATTCCTGGTATCCAAAAAAAATAATTGTAGTTTATAACTTTTTCCCATCTTATAAGAAGAAAGAACTAGATGTAATGTCAGTAAAAACAAATTGTTTTTGTTTAAAATTCTAATTTTTGATAACTGATCTTGTTATTTTTGTTCATTCTTATTTCATGAAATATCAGTTTGGTCCTGAAAGCATAAAGTTTTATAATTCTATGAATTACACTTATTTTTTCATATACCATGCATTAAACATGAACTACAGAACGTTTAAAAAATTCATTTTCTTGAGACTGGGGTTGTGGCTTAGGGTAGAGGGCTCTCCTGACACACATATTTGATCCTTAGCACCACTAAAAATAAATAAAGTCATTTGTCCATCTATAACTAAAAACAGATATTAAAATTTTTTAAAAAATTTATTTTCTTGGGCTGGGATTGTTGCTTAGTGGTAGAGCACTTAACTAGCTTGTGTAAAGCACTGGGTTTGGTCCTCAATACCACATAAAAATAAATAAAATAAAGGTATTGTGTCCATCTACTAACTGAAAAAAATATTTTAAAAATTCATTTTTCTATGTAAGTTTGAGGAATAAAGAATATTTAATGGGAATGCTATCTTTAATTCTTGGATTTTAAAGTTAATTTGAAAAGTTACAATATCTCACTTTATTTTTTGGTGTAAGTTAACATTTACTTTAAAATTGAACTTTTTAAATTTCATTATTTTAATTTCATATCCAAATTGCTTCCTTTAAAAACTGTTTTAAGCATTTTTAAAAGCAATTAAAAAGAATTGAGATAGTGTGGATACTATTGGAATAGTCTTTTAGGCTTTGAAGTTGAACATATTGCTGCAGAATATTTAATTTTCAGATAGGTATTTTCAGTCAAATTGGTTACTACTTCTTGAGTAGTACTTTTTAAAAGGATGGTGAGGGTAATGATATTTTCTTCATGAAATAATTGTGAAAAATATATTTTTAAAACTGGTAAATTGCTAGAAAAATGTAAGCTGCTAGCTTTGTGACTCTAAGTGTCAAAGATTTGTAAAACCCACCTTATTTTCTCTTGCAGATCTGTTGTTTCTTTTGGGTCTCACCTCTTCAGTGTGCATAGTGTCAGAAATTATAAAGAAGGTTGAAAGGAGCAGGGAAAAGATCCAGAAGCATGTTAGTTCGACATCGTCGTCTTTTCTTGAAGTATGATGCATATTGCATTCTTTTATTTGCAAACTAGGAATTGCAGTCTGAGGATCATTTAGAAGGGCAAGTTCAAGAGGATAATGAAGATTTGAGAACTTTTAAACTTTTCATTGACTAAAATGAACATTAATGTTAAAGACTTGATTTGAAACTTTATCCTGCTGGCAGTCCCAAATGAAATTATGCAACTTTGATAACATATTCCTTGATTTAAATTGGCTTTTGCAATTGAGTGAGATTTTATAAAGCATATGGGGCAGTAACTTAATTAAAAAAAAGAGGAAAAACATAAACCACCTTCTGCACTTAAACAAGTCTAACGTACAAATACACTATCTATCTTAGATAGATATAAATATTTTTTTTATTTTTAAATATTGTACTATTTATGGTGGTGGGGCTTTCTTACTAATACACAAATAAATTTAATCATTTCAAAAGGCATTCTATATGATTTAGAAGTCGATTCCCAGGAGTGCCATATTTCAGCTACTGTATGTCCTTTTTCCTGCAACATAAGCAGCTCAGATACCTTGTGCTACCATTTTTGTATTTCAGGTTTATTGCACAGGATGTGACCACTGTCAGATCACTGTTCTTTTCTTTCTTTTTGTGATTGAAAAGCATATACTGCAATTTGAAGTAAATGTTTGCTTTTCTTAGTGTAAATGGTTGCTGCTTTGTTTTTTAAATTAAGGTGTAAGTCTTTGGTTTAGCAGAATTAATGCAAGGCTATCAAGTGGCATTCTGGTTATAGTAACAGTATCTATAGTTGAAATAGTCAAAAACATTTGAGAGTGGAATGAAATTTATAATGAATTTTATTAACATGTCTCCTTTTTGAGTTAAATACAAATATATACTTTGTCAAATATCATCCTCTAAATATAAATCTAATTCAGCTGAATAACTGAATTTTATTATTTTTACTATTTTGTATGTGTATTTTTAAGTACATTTCTTAGGAAGTATAGACTACTATACTAAAAGAATAAAAAGTCCCAACCTGGTACATGGTTTATGAACCAGGGCATTCAGGGAAGATCCCGTGCTGGCTTGCTCTTCATACATCTTCTAGGCAGCTTCTTTGGCATCGGTTGTAGCACAATCCTGAATCTGTCCCTTCTACTTCCACCATTTGTTCTCTATCTTCTTTTTGTTTCACTGGCTTACTAGAGAAACAGATGTATCTTCTTTGCATAATGCCATCAGATTTTATAAAAGCTTGATAGGTGTAACTAATTTTGTTTTGAATGTGTAGCAAATTTGGGCCAAAAATTCAAAACCAGATATCCATTCTCCTGTTGAATATTTCTCTGTATAAAGAGAAATGGCTTCAGATTCTTACAGGTTTAATTCTTCTTGAAGTTAGTGAATTCTGTATTTTGTAAACTGTCAGAATAAACCATTCTCAAGCTTTTATTCAATATTAAATTGCAAGTGTTAGTTTTGAAATACTAGGGAAAATATCCACTATTTGAGCCCTTAATACTGAAAAGTAAGCACGAGGAGATGAGTTGTCTGCATTCTTTTTCTTTACTCTTTCAGGCTGAATGTTCAAATGTATATTATTCTCTCTCATTAGCTGGAACATCAAAGCCATTGTTTGGTCAACTCTCTCTTTAGCGATTTGATATCTAATTCCTAAATTTTGTAATGATTTTTATTCTCTGTTACAAAGACATAAAGTACATGTTAGGTGCACATCGTCTTTTGTTTTGCATTTTAGGTTCAGAATAAGACATGTATCAAATTAATGTGCCAGTCTTTTCATTTGGATTTTGATCTATAAAAATAAAAGGATTTTATCATAAGTTAATCATCTCCTAATTAACACTGTTAGCATTAAGATAATCTGGATGCTGAAGATATGGAAATACTTTGATTTCAAAGGAAGTAAAATATATAGTGCAGATCCAAATTTTTTTTGTTATATGTTAATCTAAACTAGCATGCGTGATTTAAATGTGTTAATATTGAAATTTTTAATTTTTGCCCTATTTTCTAGTCCTAGAACTCTTAGAGTCTCTATTGATAAAATTTGATTATTTTTCATTGTTACACTACTTTATGCAGTTTTTGACCCTGTAGTGACTAAACATCAGAGAAGAAAAGAATTTGAAATAGAAGTAATGTACTGATGAGGTAGATAATTCTCAAATGATAAAAACTGGCCACAAAAAAATAAGGCTGATCACATCTGTGCTGGGCATTGCATAGCCCAGAATGAAACAAAAACGAAACTACACAACTCAAAGACTTTCCCCTCTCCAATTCAGCCTTTATTTAATAGCATTAAACTACCCGTACAGGGATGACATGTTTTTAATCTTTCATATCCACACATGGTATATCTGTTCAATTATAATTTTTTTGATCACTTTCACATAGTGTATAAGTGAGCATTGGCCACATGTAAAATAGTTGTTTTGCTGAAATGAATAGGTAATATACAATGAACATCATTTTTAAGTACCTTAATTAGGTTTACCCTTTTTTCTGCCTTTGTTGGTTGGCAGTTGATACGCAATTTACTTCCATATGTGATTCACCCAAGAAGTTAGGTGGATGAATTGATTATTTTTTTATGAAACATTTATTTAGTATCTGAGTCTACCAGGAGTGGAGAAATAATGGCATCCCTGCTCTTCAGAAGCTCATGGACAAAGATAGTAGGTGGTAAAATTGATAACAAGCTATTTCAAGAAAGTTAATAGTGATCTCTGCATATTTATTTAAAAAGTACACATTCATTAAAATTAATACAGCACAGATGCACTAGAATTTTCTTTTGACATTGGCATTTGAGAATCTTTGAAGTGGTTTTTCAAAGCTCCTAAAATCTAAACAGTAGCTTATTTGCATATTAAAATATGGTATGGATAAATATTAATTCTAACTGGTATGTGTCTGAACAGATTATCCTGATTTGTTAAGCTTCCTTGATCTTATCATTTGATATGACTGTTGTCAGTGGAATTAGTCTATTTGGGTTAATAATTTGAATGAATTACTGGTGGTAATTGTAGGCAGACGTACTGTCATGGGGGTGTGCCTTGGGGAGTATTTATTTTGTCCCTGGCTCCACCCACCTCTCTCCTTCCTTCCTGGCTGCCCTGAGTGGAGGTGCCCTTTTGCCATGATTTTCTGCTTCACTCCAGGCCCAGAGCAGTGGAGTCAGCTGAGCATGGGTTAAACCTCTGAGACCGCAAGCCCAAATAAACCTTTCCTCCTCTAAGTTGTGTTGATAATACAAATGGGACACAGGTCCATTTGAAATGTGAGATTTATAGTAGCCTTTTAGATTTCCCACTGGACATATTAGATGAGGTTTCTAAAGCAGAGAATCAAAGCCAGGGCAAATTATAAGCTAGTAAAAAAACAATTTCCCTTTAACCCCCTCCCCCCCCCCATTTTGATTTTTGCTAAAATTAAAGCACTAAATGAGAGTATACCCAGCTTTGGCAGAGTAAGAATTTTTTTTTTTTTTTTAAGTTCCTTTAACATAGTGATTACTTAATCAGCAAACAATTGTCTAAACTCACACTGCAAGGGGCAAAGATAAGCACATTGAAGTCTTCTTTGTTATAGAGCTTTACAAATGAGTCTGTTATTAAGGTTATAAGTTGGAAAACACTGATGTAAATAATTGGTTGCACATCATTTTGGTATTTGCAGTAAAACATCTAAGATGCATATTGTAGGTATGTTGAAGAACTGCATAACTTAGAATTGAGTTTACTGTTCAGTGAGCATTAACGTTAGAAAATATCTGCTTGCTCCGAACAAGTAATTGTGGTAGGATAGTAGAAAACAATGTCTTTTGATGCCTTTTCCATCTTACTCATAATTCTTTGGATCTTTCTAGCTTCATATCCCATTCAATGAGCCTAGACAATCTACTTCTAGATCTTTGGGTGCAGAATTTCTTACTTCTTGAAATTCTTGCCTCAATTTTGAGAATCAGAATGGTTTGTGTTTTGTGCTAGGGATTGAACCCAAAGCTTCAGCCATGCTAGGCAAGCAGTCTACCACTAAGCTACATCCTCAGCCAAGAATCAGAATTTTTACCTATATTTCAAATCCTAGTTGAAATGCCAACCAAGATGGTCTTTTCAGATTGCTTGAAAGGGAGTAGGCGTCTATATGTGTGTGTGTCGTAGTACAATTCCTTGTAAATAATATTACAAGGCAGCCACAAAATTGAGCATAAAAAATGTGTTTTTATTTTTTAGAAAACATTAAAAATATAAGTCCAAGCCACTTCGTTGATAAAGCTAGACAGAAATTTGGTAAAATTGTATTTTTTTATTAACGATAAAGTTAAGTTGAAGTTGGGACAGAAAAGTGGAAACAAGTATTTTGAGCCATTTTGATTCTTTGAAATTATTTCTTAAATCTATCATTGGGCACATATGCCTGAATGTATATGATGTGTTAGTAATGGCCTTTATTTGTACAACTGCTCCAGATAGTGACTTTTGTATTCTTAAGCCATTTTGCTCAATTCTAGCCAAATTGACCAATGTTCTTACCCATGGTTTTGTAATGGCTCCATGGTTGTTAGATCTGGCAGAATTTCCATTCATATCTAACCCACAGTTGCCCCATCACCAGTATTTCTTAAGCAGTTAATGGTATTGTTGAATAATATAACCTTGTGCATAGAAACCATGTTTCATAGTATTGTGAGCACTTGGTGCTGGAAATTGGGCAGATAGTGTACATGTATACCAAAAATTCATTTTTGGGCTCTGTATTTCTAGCTTTTGAACTCAATATGTGCTTTTTATAAAAAGCAGTTGTAAGTGGACACAGCACCTTTATTTATTTATCTATCCACTTGTTTGCTTGTTTTATTTATTTATTTATTTATATGTGGTGCTGAAGATTGAGCTCAGTGCCTCGCACGTGCTAGGCAAGAACTCTACCACTGAGCCACAACCCCAGTCCCTCAATATGTGCTTTTAAATAGTTTTTTTTTTTTTTAAATACAG